TAGGGAAATTTTATAAATTTTACTTTTAGTTCGTTTTTGTTTGAGATTTTAGAAAAATAAAATACATATTAGTTTGATTGACATTTTACTATATTAATAAAATATGATATATATTTTTTAACTATTTATTACAGAGTAAAATGTATAAATTAAAGTATAAATAAAAGTAATTTAATGAACGATAAAAGATATATTAAATTTAAAATAGTTTAATAGTTGTGGAAAAAGTTCAAGCGAGAAACAAAATGAAATGATATACATAGCACAGAGTTCTCAAATATGGTCCCAAGATTTAACGCGGCTACATACACAAGATAAAATTCAAACTCTTGACCTTGCTTAAACATGGATCAACCCCTACCACTGAACCACACGCTTGGGATTAACATTTTGTTTATATTAAAGATGAAATAGTGAGAAAGAAATAGAAAGAACAAAAATCGAGTGAATATAATGTGCTATTTGGTTGGATAAAAATAAGAAAAAAATAAATGGAAATATTTCCTTCACTTGTTTAATTGAGTGGAAATGAAAAATGAAAAGATTATATGAAAAATGTGTTTATATTAATTATAAAGAAAATTTTACAATATAAGTTTTAAAATAAAAAGTATAATCATTTAAAATTAATTATTAATGTATGAATATTAACGCCCACTTGATCTTATCATTAGATGTTGTATCTAAGTTGTTAAGATAAGATCTCAGTTTTACTTTATCACTGAGTACGGGCTCTTCACGTATGTGTATATATAGTCACTGCTTTAGATATTTCTTATGAATAAAATCTTCAATCTTACTTTTCTTATAATTAACCAATAATTCATATACATTTTTGTCTCACTACAAAGCTAAGTGTGAAAAAAAATATATAATACCCTACAAATACAACTCTTTTCCAATTTCACTCTAAATAAAAAGATACTCAATATTTACCTATGTTAAAATAATAGTTTATTATTTTTAGTAGAGCTATGTAAAGTTGTCATTTGTTGTATTTTGTAGAGGGATTAGGTGTTATAAGCATTAGCCTTTTTCCTCTAATTGTACTCTTTGTATGTACTATTCTTCTTTCTTCTCACATTTCACACACACACACACACACACACACACACACACGCACACACGTGAGCCTCTTTCACTGGTACGCTGGTGCTTCGAGATGTGGGGGTGGTACCTACAAAAGAGACTCCGATGTTAAAGTTAGTGTTTGTGGGTGTATGAGTCTCGTATAAGTAATGCACGTACCTTTGTGTGTATTAGGGTTTTGTTGGGCCTTGGGCCCGAGATCAGTTTATGACCTAATTGGATAGCGAGCCGATGTCGCCTAGCGCGTGTCCGAGGTCACTCCGCGCTGTGATGCCGAGCTCAAGCTCGGCATAGCGGTACGGATAGTACACTAGCCCCCCGAGCTCCGAAGACCGTAGGTCGAGGAGTTAAGACCGAGCTTGACAAGGGGTCGTGACTTTTCGCGTACGCCTATTTGTCATGACGCCATGTGTCATAACCGTCACCTCGTTCCCATAACGCGTGGGCAGCGCGGTGACAAGATTGTATTTTTATTTGTTTGATGACGTGGCCTCTTTGGGCCGATGTGGTGTTCCGATGTCCATGTTTCATGGTCGGGCTGAGGAGCTCGGCAATAATGAGCTTACTGCTTGGTTAGGCTGGTAAACCTTTGACCGAGTCAGCAGATTGGTGAGGGACAAGTCGGCAACTCGGCTGGCCAGTACACTTGCCCCCCAAGCACCGAGTGATGTAAGAGCAAAGGGGCTTCTGAGGAGTTCCCAAATTTGTTGTTTGAAGGTTCAAATTCGACCTTGTTAAGAAGATGTGATCTCAAGGTTCGGACTCGACCTTGGCATATCAAGGTTCGAACTCGACCTTGGTTAAGAAAATGTGATCTCAAGGTTCGGACTCGACCTTGGCATATCAAGGTTCGAACTCGACCTTGGTTAAGAAGATGTGATCTCAAGGTTCGGACTCGACCTTGGCATATCAAGGTTCGAACTCGACCTTGGTTAAGAAGATGTGATCTCAAGGTTCGGACTCGACCTTGGCATATCAAGGTTCGAACTCGACCTTGGTTAAGAAAATGTGATCTCAAGGTTTAGACTCGACCTTGGCATATCAAGGTTCGAACTCGACCTTGGTTAAGAAAATGTGATCTCAAGGTTCGGACTCGACCTTGGCATATCAAGGTTCGAACTCAACCTTGGTTAAGAAAATGTGATCTCAAGGTTCGGACTCGACCTTGGCATATCAAGGTTCGAACTCGACCTTGGTTAAGAAAATGTGATCTCAAGGTTTGGACTCGACCTTGGCATATCAAGGTTCGAACTCGACCTTGGTTAAGAAAATGTGATCTCAAGGTTCGGACTCGACCTTGGCATATCAAGGTTCGAACTCGACCTTGGTTAAGAAAATGTGATCTCAAGGTTCAGACTCGACCTTGGCATATCAAGGTTCGAACTCGACCTTGGTTAAGAAAATGTGATCTCAAGGTTCGAACTCGACCTTGGCATCAAGGTTCGGATTCGACCTTGGCAACGTAATTTGTATTTGAAGGTTCGAACCCGACTTTAACATCAAGGTTCGAACTCGACCTTGGCAAGTCGTCATGGTTAATGTGCCAATACCGAAAATGTATGGGAATGGAGTTGCTTTGTTGATTTATTTCTGAGGGGTGCCTCGTTAAAACCTTCCTTGGCCAAAAACCCTTTTCTTTAGTGGGAAAAAAGGCTGAGGAGGAAAAAGAGTACATCCCCTGAATTTACAAGTTAAGAGAAATAAAATTTGAGGTGGGTGGAATTCCAAGTTCCAAATTTTCCTTTGGAGGGGTCTGTTCTTGCTTCTCCCCGTAATCGCCAAACAAGGTCGCCAACTTTAAATGTTCGTGGCCTGACCTTGGTCTTGCTTTCCTTGTGGTTTGTCGCGAATTGCCTTGCGGAACTCGGCATGCTCCTCCATCTGGATGTACCCAGCAGCGCGAGCTCGGAGCTCGTCCATGTCGGGAGGAGGTCGTCGGCAAAGGCTGTCGACGAAAGGTCCTGGCTTCAACGCCATGAGCATGGAGTGCAGTGCGACCTCGGGGTTTAAGTTGCGGATTTTGACGGAGATGCCAGCGAAGCGCTCCATGAATGTCCTTAATGGTTCTTCGTCGCCCTGTCTAAGGATGGTCAAGGCGGCAGATGTGATGTGATGAGGTCGACTCGTTGCATATTGCGCCGTGAACCGTCTGACCAGGGTGCCGAAGCTGTCAATTGACTCGGCAGGTAGCTGGGTGTACCAGTTGAGCGCGGCCCCTTTGAGCGAGGTCGGAAAAACCCTACACAGAATAGCATCGTTATTGGTGTAGAGGTTTACCTGTGTGGTGTACAGGTTGATGTGCTCGTCTGGGTCTGTCGTGCCGTCGTAGCGGTCGAGGTGGAGAGGCTTCCATCCGAGAGGGAGTGGCGTCTCCATAATGCCATCCACAAAAGGATGACGGCGGAAGGTTGGTTGATCCCCCGCGACATGAGTAGGAGCATTGCTGACCTCATGGGTCGATTTGTGTGTCGGTGCATGAGATCAATGCGTGGCAGGTTTGGAGTCGGTGTCCTATGCGCTGTTAGCGGTTGAGAAACCGAGTGCCCCTCTTCCTCGTTTAGGTGACTCGGTTGAGGGGGTTGATCAGAGGTGCGCCGTGGTAGCTGAGCGCGGATACGCTCATTCTCGGCGCGCAGGGCCGCTAGGTCAGCTTCGTTAGCGGTTCGCATCGCTGCTAGGTCAGTTTCGTGCTTGGCACGCATGCTTTGCAGATCGGCGGTGTGTTGCTGCCGCATCTGCTCGACCTGCTCGATCAGCCTTCTCAATGCTGCTTCGTTGTCCATGGTAGTTGCGTGATCTAGGTCGTCTGTTGCGCGTCTGCTATGGCTTCTGGTGAAAACCATAAGCGTGGCCGATAAGAGCTGTCTTGATCGGCCCCACGGTGGGCGCCAACTGTTCTTACCGGAAATCTGCTATAGAGATGATCCTCCGAGTAAGATTGGTGAGCCTCCTTCGCTGGTACGCTTGATGCTCCAAGATGGGGGTGGTACCTGCAAAAGAGACTCCGATGCTAAAGTTAGTGTTTGTGGGTGTATGAGTCTCGTATAAGTAATGCACGTACCTTTGTGTGTATTAGGGTTTTGTTGGGCCTTGGGCCCGAGATCAGTTTATGACCTAATTGGATAGCGAGCCGATGTCGCCTAGCGCGTGTCCGAGGTCACTCCGTGCTGTGATGCCGAGCTCAAGCTCGGCATAGCGGTACGCATAGTACAAGAAGAATTGTTCATTTATTTGATATTTATCAAAGTTTCGAAGGCCTCATTTCAAATATTAGGTTGGTATCAAAGTAGGTAAGATCCCGCTTTGGCTTCCGTCGTTGTTTGTCCGGCATCCGCTGCCAACCACCACCATTTTCTCCGACGAACTCAAGGATAGGTGTGCCTTGACTAGCGTGACCCAACCCTAAAGGTCACGTGACCTGATTCTCAGACACACTCCCTTACATGTTGATCTACCCCAACATCCTTTCTAGCGTATGTAATTCACGTGTCGCCTTCTACTTATCATAATCTCACCAAACCACCTTCAGCAATCTCATCAACACCTTTTGAATACGTTTCTGGTCTTGGTTCTCTATTTCGACCTACTTGACATAGTGAGTCATGGTGTTCAAACTACTCTATTAACAAACTTCGTCTTCTTTCTTTTCAAATGGCCTTTGTAGGTTCGACTTCTTCTTTTTCTAGCACTCCTACCATTACCACCATAATATTCAACTAGAAAAATTATTTGTCCCGGTCTGTCTCAATGGAGTTGTGGTTCCTTGGTCAAGGGTACCATGACCATTTGGAGAAGAAAGTTGGTATTATTTTTATCGAAAATAAATCTCAGTTAAAGAAACTTGATTTCCAACTATGTGTTGTTCTATGACAATTTGTTAAGCTTGATGTTTTAGAGATACTTAGATCATTCAAGACGTGTTGCTCGTTTTGGAAGAAGACCCAAGATATTTTTGCTAATGACATTCAACGTCTTTTTGATGCAACCAAAGAATAGCTTTCCTCAAACAGGATAGCCATGATATGGTTTCAAATGTAGCTCAAGCTCGAGCTATAATAGAATAACTAAGCAGATTTCTTGTGGTTGACTCATTGGAAGACATGTACAAAAAAAAACTTGATAAGTTATATATGGTCCTTATTTTAAGAAGTTTACATTCAAATTTTGATTATGTGTGTGATCAAATTTTGTCTAGTGTTCAAATCCCTTCAATGGACAGCCTACTCACTAGACTTCTTCGTGTGCCTACGTTAGTGAAGGATAAAAATTCAGCTAAAGCCATTGAAACTTTAGCAATGGTAGCACCTTGTGGAAAATGAGAAAGTTATAGAAATCGAGGAGGACATGGTGGTAGTCGTGGACTTCCTCAACACATATACTGTAAGAGAAAGGGTCATACCCAAGAAAATTATTACTCCTTACATGGATCTGAAAAATCAGATTCCAAGTTTTATGATGAGGAATACCAAGAATATTTGAAGCTTAAATATAAAAAATTCAGCAACCAAGCTCAATCTTCTTCGATGCCAAGTGTTTCAACAACATGTATCTCTTAATCTATAGAAAGTCATGGTTCATGGATACTTGACTTAGGTGCCTCCAACCACATTTCTGGTAACAAATCCTTATTCTCATCCATTTCTTCTACAAAATTTCCTCACCTTGTTACTGTAGCTAATAGGTTCAAAGTTGCATCTCAAGGAATTGGTCAGGTTCCTTTGTCTACTTCTTTAAATTTAGATTTGTTTTTTTTTAATCCACATTATCCTTATAACTTAATCTCTTTAAGTCAATTGACTCAATCGTCAAATTGTTCAATAACATTTAATGCTAATTCCTTTGTCATTCAAGAACATTGTATGGGTTGTCTAATTGGTGAAAGACATGAATCATGAGGTCTTTATTACTTGGAATCAATCCCACCTATGTCTTGTTTTGCAACTTCAGCACCAAAACTTTTGCATGACTTTTTGGGTCACTCAAGTTTGACAAAATTAAAGATAATGGTTCCTAGTCTTAAGCAATTTCAAGTTTTAGAATGTGAACCGTGTCAATTAGGAAAACATGTTAGGTCATCATTTCTCAAACAAGCTGAAAAAAGATTAACTTAATTTTCTCTACCATCCATTCAGACATTTGGAAACCAAGTCGTGTCACATCTTTTGGTTTTAGATATTTTGTAATCTTCATTAATGAATTCTCTTGATGTACTTGAATTTATTTAATGAAAGATAGGTCTGAACTTTCATCTATATTCATGTCTCTCTTTAATGAGAATAAAAACTAGTTTGGGAAGATAATTAAAATCTTTAGAAGTGTTAATGTTAAAAAGTATTTCTCTCTTGAACTTTCTTCATTTTTATCATCATAGGGTATTTTACATCAATCCACATGTCCTCACACACCACAATTAAACGACATGATAGAGAGGAAGAACCATCACCTCATTGAAACTGCACGTTCCCTAATGTTGAATATAATTGTTCCAATACATCATTAGGGGGATGCAGTTCTCACTTCCTATTTTTTAATAAATAGAATGTCCTCTTCTTCTCTTGAAAATCAGATTCCTCACTCCATTATTTTTCCAAATGACCCATTATTTGATGTCTCTCCTCGGGTGTTTGGTTAAACTTGTTTTGTTCATGATGTCTCTCCAGGTTTAGACAAACTTTCTGCTAAGACTATTAAATATGTTTTTCTAGAATATTCTCACCTTCAAAAAGGATAAAAATGTTATTCTCTAACTACCAAAAGGTATTATATATTTGTTAATGTTATCTTCTTTAAGAACACACATTTTTTCTCGTCTTCCATAAAACATCATGTTTCCATTCAACAAGTTCTCCATGTTCCATCCTTTAGTCCGCTAATTATTCATGCTCCTTCTAACTCCCACCAAGATGTTAATGAGCCTCAATCACATACACATAGTTCGACTAAAGCTACTACACTACCCCTTATTCAATATCAGTGCAAAATGTAGAGAGATGATTTCGCATTGCTTGAATCCTCTTCTCGTGATTCAGATCCTCCTCCAACAGCTCCTTAGACCATGGATCCTTCATCCTCAACTCCTCATGACTCCAATTTAGATTGGCTCATTGTTATTAGGAAAGGTATTTAGTCTACTCGTAATCCTCATCTTATTTATAATTTTATAAGTTATCACCGATTATCTCCTTCATACTTTTCTTTTGTTTTCTCCTTGTCCTCTCTTACTATTTCTAAAAATGTCCACGAGGCACTTGATCATCCTGGATAGCTACAAGCCATGATTGATGAAATATAGGCTCTTGCGAACAATGGCACATGGGAGCTTGCTCCTTTCCCTCCTAGAAAGAAAACTGTTGGTTGTAGATGGGTCTATGCTATTAAAGTTAGGCCCTATTGTGCAGTTGATCACCTCAAGGCCCTGTTAGCGGCCAAGGGATACACTCAAATATATGGACTTGATTATTACGATACTTTTTCTCCTATCACCAAAATCACCACAGTTTGGCTCTTTCTCACTATGGTTGTTATTCGTCATTGGTCTCTTCACCAACTTGACATAAAAAAAATGTTTTCTTTCATAGTGACCTTGAAGAGGAGATATACATGGAGCAACCTACTAGATTTGTTGTTTAGGGGCAGTATGGTCTAATTTACAAATTGCTTTGATCTTTCTATGGGTTGAAACAATCACCTCAAGCTTGGTTTGGTAAATTTAGTCATATTATGCATATTTTTGGATTGAAATGAAATGAGATAGATCATTATATTTTTTATTGTCACACTTCTCTTGGGAAGTGTGTTTATCTAATGGTCTTTGTTGATGATATAGTAATCACAGAAAATGATGCTATTAAGATTTCTCAACTAAAAGAGCAATTATTCAATCATTTTCAAACCAAATACTTTGGTTGTTTGAAATACTTTCTTGGTATTGAAGTGGCTTAATCAAAGGAAGGTATTGTGATTTCACAAAGAAAATATGTCCTTGATATTTTGGAGGAAATAGGTCTGGCAAATTATAAACCCATTAATAGTCTTATGAACCCAAATCAAAAGCTAATGATTGAGCAAGATGATATTTTTCCATATCCTAAGACATACAAGAGACTAGTGGGAAAACTCATTTACCTCACAATTACAATACCTAATATTTCTTTTGTTGTTGGAGTTATTAGTCAATTCATGCAGAATCATCACATTGACCATTAGAATGTTGTACTTCGCATCCTTAGATATGTCAAAAAGGCTCCAGGACAAGGATTATTGCATGAGGACAAAGGAACTACTCAAGTTTTAGGATATTGTGATGCAGATTGAGTTGAGTGTCCCATAGATAGGAGATCCACCTCAGGATGTTGTGTTTGCATTGGAGTGAATATTATCTCTTAGAAGAGTAAGAAATAAAATGTTGTTGCATGGTCTAATGCAAAAGCTAAATATAGATCTATAATTTTGGCTACTTGCGAACTTATGTAGATCAAACAATTAATTCAACAGTTGAAATTTTGTGAAGTTAAGCAAATGGAGTTATATTATGATAATCATGTAAGCAAATAAAGTTATATTATGATAATCAAGCAATTATTCATATTACCTCCAATCCAGTATTTCATAAGAAAACTTAACACAAAGATTGATTGTCATTTCATCCAAGAAACTTAGTACAGAATTTATCAACTTCAGTGACCAACTTGCAGATATTCTAACTAAACCCTTAAAAGCATCTAGGATTCAATTTATATATTCCAAGCTTGATGCATATGATTTATATGCTCCGGCTTGAAAGAAAATGTTAAAATAATAATTTATTATTTTTAGTACAAATATGTAAAGTTATCTTTTTTATTGTATTTTGCATAGGGATTAAATGTCATAGACAATAGCCTTTTTCTTCTGATTGTACTCTGTCTGTACAATTTTTCCTTCTTCTCTCATTTCACATATATATAAAAATACATCAGCTGAGTATGTTACTCACTGATTTTGAGCCTCATTTCAAATCTTAAGTACCTAAATTATTTCTTCCTAAATACTCTTCTCCTGAATCATCTAAAAATCAAATATAGTGTAATCGCATGAACTAATTTCTACTTCAACGGCTTACACAGTTGGGTTTAGTGTTTATACTTATTTAATTTTCTGACCCCTCTCCCCTGGAACATTGTTTAGTAACATTTTCTTCACATTGAGTTACTTTTTTTTTTCCACTTCACTATTTGTAAGAAACAACAAATTAACCATAATTCTACAAAGAAAATTGAAAGCAACAATCCTAAAGTTTATAATATGCACTACGGAGCTTAGGATGCAAGAGACAGAGGGAGAAAGAACTTCAAAGGTTTTTATCAGGAAAAAAAATATCCTATCATTGCACAGATGAATTGTATCTAAAGTCTGCAGATATCTGTCAATTTTGGTCACAGAAATCGCACGGCCACAAGAACAGCACAAATTAGCAACTACCAAGGGATGAAACTATTCACATGTTGGCAAAGTTAAACCTAGAAACAATTCAAAAACAAAGGTAAAAAAAGTCATCTATCTATATCTACAAATCGGAATCTGTCACAACGCCCTCACTTCTGCATTGTGCAGGCATAAGCCGCCTCCTCTTTGCAGCTTGTTCCTCACAAATATCAGGTGTCATGCCTTCAATTGCCTGACCATCATCACATGTGGCCTCATCATTTGTTGCATCACAAACTTGTGACAATGGTATTAAGAGGGTTTCTTCACCAGAAGAGTGGAAATCTCCGTTCTTGTTATCATCACACGTTGCAATCGAGTCTTGAGAATTTCCCACAACAGATGTGGAAATACATGTGACGTGCTCAGCATTTTCCATGGCTGAACAAGTTTTCTCACCTTGTTTGGCTTCATTAGATGACCCGGGCTCATCCACAACAGGGCAGTTTTTAGTTACCCCCAAGTCTTCTGAATCATCTGAAGCACCATTTGAAGCATCTAGAGGTGACTCAACCCCATCATGATCCACTTGCAGAGAAATTTGTGGTCTATGACATGTCTCATCTGCACAATCCTTAGGAAGATATGGCAAAGAACATGTTTGAGGTGTAATTCCAGCAACTTGCTGGAAGTTGGGATCTGTAGACATGTACATAAACTGTTCGCCAAGATCCGTGTCTTCCTATTAAAATGGGACAGAAAAGGAAGGGGAAGTTAGTTTTGCAATATCAATGTAAAAAGTATGCAATAGGATCTAAAATAAATATGTTGCCAGCATGAAGAAATTTAAGCATCGTTCAATGGCTATATTTAAGAACTATGCCCCAGGAGATTATAGTTCCTATGTTTATGTGATAGTATAAAATGCGAAGTAGACAGCATAAATTACATGACAAACATAAAAGCCTTTTTCAGCATAAAAATTCAAATTTTGTGCGTGGGATGAGGAAACTGGTTATGTACATGTGATAAAACATGTTGCCAGGAAGAGAGAATACACATGAACCTAGCGAGTGGTTCAAACAAATTCAAGAAGAAAAAAAATGCACATGTAGACAGATGCGAGTAGATACCTCCATCGAAAATATTGAACCATTGAATTGATAATCAGATGATCGCTGGTCAAAAGATTGGCACTGTCCCAACATTGCTCCTGCAGTAGCCCCGGGCTCAAAAAGCTCTTTAAGAACCAAACCTGAATTGTTGTTAAAGGATTGAGGATCCAAAGACGATGAACCAGACAATAGAGTGATTTCTATTCCCTGCCCTGCATGGGAAGTTGTTGACTCCTTATTGACTTCAGGATGACCAATCCCAGTTCTCTTATCATTATTTTCTAAGCACTCGTCATCTTCATCGCTAGAGTCAGAGGAAGAGATTTCATGCGAACCATGTTTTTCCACAAGTTCAAAGATTAACTTCTGGATCAGAGTTCGCTTTAGATAAGCTTCAGCAGGCAGAAACCAGTCCACATTGAGCTGGAAATTATTAGTTATATTAGGTCAAATCATTATAATATGAATGTTATAAAGGTGTCAATTGCCTCAAATTTTAAAATAGAAAACATTAAGACAACTAGGCAATGAACTACAAAACTTGGGAGATGAAATACTAAAATAAGCATGATCAGCAGCTAAGACAGAAGGAAACACTATTTTTTAACACAGTCTTCAACATACTACCATTTCGGTTTATTTTTGCAGGACCCACAAAAGAAATAGTGAGTGTGAAACCCAGGTTATTTAATAGGACCCAAAAGTACTTCACCCAGTTATTGGTGTGCTGAAGAGAATGCTAAAATAGCTGGTCTGCTAGCACTCCTAGGATAAGAGATAAACGAAATTGAGAAGTTGCAACAAATGAATTGTGGTAGGCCTTTTTGAACAAACCTTTCAATAAACACTAATAGAAGAAAAAAATAAGAAGAGAAAATAAAAAAGTTGCTCCATAAGCTAAAATTATTTTATGAATAAGTTAAAAATCAGCTTTAAGAAAAACTAATGTGGGAGAACTTTTACAATAGCTTATACATAAGCTAATTTTAACTTTTGAAAAAGTTTATTTTATTTTTTCTTGGTATTTTCTTCTCTTACAAGTGCTTATGAAGAAATTTGTCGGAACAAGCCCAAGTCAAGTCATTAATTAAGTCAACCAGCAGTTAATGATTAGCCACTCTTTGAACATCAATAGTGGATAATTGATTTTAGAATAGAAATACTTTTTCGGTGATTTACTTTTTTGTAATTCTCGTAAAAAGTCTCAAATAAACCAGAAATAAAAATAAGTAGACCACTTACAAAGTTGGAAAACTTGGTCAGTTTGAAAGGATTGAAATTAGGAGGTGCTTCAGCAAGGAACAGCTCTAGGTAGTGGAGCAGAAATAGGCCACAATCATACGAGTTTTCTTGCTGCGGCAACTGTCATGGAGTGAGAGCATTCAATCACAAAACATTTATAAAAAAAACACTCAAGCAGAAAACCAAACAGTAAACATGCCATATTCCACATCTATCTTCTTTTTTTTTTTTTTCTATAGTGAACAAAAAAAAATAGAGGAGAATTAAAGTTATCCAAGTGATGGGATTTTCCTCTTCAGGTGTATGTAACACAAATGATTGGCAGAAAACTCAAGACTAAAACCCCAAACTAGTCCTCAAGATTGAATGAGTTTCACTATTTAGTCCCAGAGATATTAAAAACCCTCTGTTAATGCTTAACTTTACACCACAGAATTCACTTTATCCCTTTTTGGTGCAAAAAGGACAATGGAAAACAATGTAGCAAAGGATTAAAATGAATGATTTATTTTTTTTGTAAAATCAGGGGATAACAGTTTTAAAATCTAGAGGACTAAAATGTCCCACCCACACAATCTCAGATTAATTTTGGGGTTTACTCAAAACAACTCCTAGCATATAATGGATTGAAACAAAAAACTTTGTTTTATATGAAGAATAGGGCATCACTTTGACATGAAGGAAATTTCATCACCAACCACTATGTAAGATTTTATATAAAAAGACAGCAAACCTTTTATAGTACTTTGCAAAAAAAAAATGGAGAATCTAATCCTCAGGAAATAAAACATTTGTTTCATTAAACACTAATATGTTTTTTAAGGAAGAATGTCTTTGTGAAAATACCGCAAGTGGAAGAAAATGCATATTGAAGAATCTTGACGAAAGGTCTTCATCCAGAGTATCCTTATGTCTCTCTTTCCACTCTTCCCACAAGTAACTGTCAACCAGATCAGAAAAGGCAAAGCATAACTCCCTTGAGATTACTTTTTAAGATGATAATACAAATACAAGGAATCGACATAGTAGCAACAGAAATAAACAATTATAACAGCACAATATAATTGATATTAATGTTGAAATTAAAGTAAGGAAACAGAAAACACAGACCACAAGCTACTAATGAAACAGAAAATGCCAATACAAATAAGCAGCATCCATAAGCACAACAATTTTGATTTTCTAGTTTGTTTTACATCTGCATTCATAATCAAAGAGTAATCAATTGTGATATTTTCATTTTCAGGGCTCAAGATTAATTTAAAGGTGAAACTAAAGAACTACGCCATAAAATATGTATAACTTTGTGTAAAAAAGTTTAGTATAAAGTGGACAACGTTTAAATGAATTATTATTATTATTATACACAAATGTTGGCCAAGGATATGATATTATATTCTAAGGCCAGAAAAGCTCCATAGAAAGATTATAGGACTCATAGATAAGCTTATGAAATTTGGTTATATATTTTGACAGTCATGCAAGACTTCACAAATAATTAGATAATTAAAGGAAGCACATTAACCTCTATGAACTTCATTATCAATCATTCAATTGCTTAATAAAAACACAATGTAATAAAGCTACTGCTAAATCATCAAATAAATAACTGAAAAAACTAAGGTGCAGCAGCAGATAGACTGCAATGATCTCAAACATGAACTCAAAGCCAACTTGCACTTGCATAAATAACCTCAAATCCAGTTTTAATATGAAGAAATATAAACCATCATACCTTTGCACCAGGTTTTTCAGACCGCTATGACTTCCTTTGATAGAATCCATATGCAATATACAGGGTACCTTGAGTGAATTGTCCAGCTCCTTATCTGGAATGTGTATAATAACATAAATCTCTGAAAACAGAGTTTCACAAGAAAGATCATAAGCTGAGACCTCACCATTAAAATTAAGCACTTCACCAGGATGGCATATGACTATTAAACTCCAATGAAGACTACGATCACATGAAAAGATAATGTTGATCAGCACTTGAATACATATAGAGACAGTCGGAGAAGCAAAACTTAGATAGAATCTTACTTGAAGTTCACAGGAATGAAGATATATTCCTTTGCAAATAAATTTACTTTTCTAGTCCATTTACGAACACGTAAAAACGCCGCTTTTCCATCAGAAGCACTAGATGGATTTTTGTCCATATCAGCAAGCTTCCTAAAGAAAAAACTATTAAAAAAATGAAATCTAGGCTTTTCCTCCTCTGGTATTTGATTTTTTAAATACCTGCCAAAATTGAGATTTTCATAATGTCAAACCATCCTCAAGAATCACAAAACAGATCAAGAACCCAATAATTTTGATGAGCATTTAGCATATGTAGACCAGAAGAGAAAAAAGAAAGTAAATGAGCTGGCATATGAAAGCAGGCTGAGAAATACTGTTATCTGTAAATAGGAAGTAATGAAAGGAAAGTGTAACAGATTTTACATGTGGCATTAGGAAATTAGGGGAGAAATTCTGCAATAGAGTAAGAAAACATAAATAAAATGGAAGGGGAAGAAGAGAATTTTTGGGACAGTTTTTTAATGGGTCTTGTCAAGAAGGGCAGGATTCCATGCAGCTCTGTTCATTCTGTGCTCCATTTCTGTGTTCAGAACTTGTTAATAAAATTATACAATGTAAAGGAGAGTTTCTCCTGAACTTTTTATAATTTAAGTATCTATCAATTTTTCATTACTTAATATCTTCCGCCTTTTCACACTATCCTACAATCACCAATCCTTTCAGTATTCTCTTTATATAAACAAGGTATATATTGACATTCCTCTGCCCATAAATGCCTACATATATGATTATCTATTTTCAATCCTGAAAATGTTAATGTATAGTCTTGCATATGATGAATAAAAATTTCGACAAAAACATGGGACACACGCACACATATATATATAGGGGGAGAGAGAGAGAGGGAGAGAGAGAAAGCAAACTCACTGGATGTAAAAATCAATAATTGTGTCATTAACGAATGTGTCTGGTTGCAGGAGATCTACATCTCTCTTGCTTAAGGAAACAGCATCTGGATCCCCTTTAGGATAGATAACATCATCAAAAGGCTCCTCAAAACTGTTTCAGATCATAAATTCTCATAATTAAACTTGGTATTAGGAGCCACACCACCCGCCCAACACACAAGACAAGAAAATGACAGTAGAAAGCAATAGACCTTAATGGTTATATTCAAGATATCAACTATCTTTTAATTTAATCCACTCTAATAGACACTAAAAAAGCATGTAGAAATCAGAAGATTTATGCAAAGTCTCAACAAAACAGAAGTTGTGCATGTTTCTATTTAAGGGTATACAGAAAACATAATATACCATAGCCATACAATGTAACCACCGACTTCAACCTCACATTTCCAATATATCTGCAACATTTCTTATTATAAGAATGAGAGTGACAAGGATTGAATTCTAGAGTCTAGAGCACCTGGATAAAGGTTCTCCTACACTACTACCATGCACATGTCATGAACCAACTATCTTAAGCTTCAACATCCAGAGCCAAACATCTCAGAAACAAACATTAAACCAGAGAATATAGGGAAAAAGGGATTAGTAGACACCATGCAACAAAGGAATTAGGACACCATAAAGCACTAAAGCAGAAAGTTTTCAAAATAAAAGCTTTGGGCTATGGCATCAATATATGTAGGCATGCTTGCCAAAAAGAAAAAGGAAATTAACAAGTCTTACTTAGGGAAGTAGCATCTTGATCCACGTGAATCAGTTTCATGGCCTTCTACATCCGTACTACAAGAGAAAATTAATCATAAGAATAGTATGTTCATTAAAATAACATAAACAGGCATTCAGACTTAAGAGCACAAAACACAAAACATATCCACTTCAAATCAATTTTGAACCAAGAATAAACTTTACCGTGACAATGAAATCACACATCGTAAGTTTATAAATAAAAGGCAAATATAACAATCAACAGAGTCCAGTCAAGACTCATGAATTGCAACCTATCCATCAATTATAATTGATGAAAGCCAGTAGCCTACAGTTGAAAACCTGCAATCTAAGCAACATTTTATAGAACAATCGATAACCAACTGACAAGGGAAAAATGTAAAGAAAAATACACTTAAATGACTTACTGAAGCACAATGTTCCAAATAGCCAAGTATTTTATATTAAGAGATGTGATTTGTTTATGTCTCAGGGACCAACTGTAATCAACGACCGCTATTTCCAATTCCTCGATGCCTAACATGTGAATAGGCATGAACTTACAATCAGTAACAGAGAGAGAAGTTACTATTTGCAAAACAATCTATAAACTCCTAATACGAAAAATTACCCAAATAAATTTATAGCTACAGTTTGAATAGAAATGACAAGTTATATCATCAAGTAGCCAATATAACAACGAAGAAAACCATACCCCACTGATCAACCATAATAACAGCACTTACCTGAAGCATTGCTTACATGATTTGACTGGCTTGCATTACTTGGTATTGCTCGGAGCTTTATAATGATGGTTCCGCTCTGGAGAAAATGCATACCAAGAATTATAAAATTCATACACTTGAGTGTGTGTTGCAAGTAATAGAACTATAAAACTCACACTTTGAAATAACTGAGATGTTATGCCAACGAGATCATCAACTGCCCATTCAAGATCAAAAGATTCTTGCTTTATACATGCAGTTGAAACATTTATCTTGACAAAACAAGGTGAAAAGGTTAACTCTGGACCCATATAATAATTATCCTGGTATATGATATAATCAGGATGAAGAACAACTTCCGTTTTTAAGTCATCCTGAAAATTACATGAAAGAAAATAATAGTGAATCCAAAAACAAAATGAACCAAAACAATATACCACAAAATTAATGAATCAAATGCCATATAAAGCCTTTTATATTGATGTACTAGATTTAGCGATAACAAAGTAAAAAGTTTGTAGCTTAAATAATAGTACTATTAGTACATCAACTTATATTCTCATATAAAGAGTAGGTAAACTTGATGATGCAGCAGGGGGAAAGACAAACCAATCCAAAATATTAATTGGCGTCAATAATGAAAGAGTAAAAAACAATAAATGGCACTAGTACAAGAACAACTAAAACAATAAAAAAATCGGGGAAAAAACAACAAAAGATGAAAAATACCGCATGTGATGTCAATTTCTTTAGCACAAATAGGTTATGTTATTAAAAAAAAAAATACAAAAAAAAGGCTTTACCATGCCAGAATTGTCTGTGCCGTTCAATCCACAACCATTAGATGTAACTGAAATAATGAATACCAAGCTTAGTCAGTAAACTAAAACATGCTATTTACAAATTAATCGGGGAAGAGTTACTAAGATTCAGGAATCCAGTAATAAGAAAAACACACCACCATTCTCTGGAATATCAGAAGCAGGACTTGTTGGAGCACTCTCATTCATGCTCTCATCAGCCTCCGAATTGACATCAATTGATTCATTCTGTACAAAAAGTGAACATAAATATAAATCTCACACTTAAATCAATTCCTTAGGCTGCAATTTTACAAATAGAAGTTACAGTACACTGTATGAAGATCCTGAAGGGTCAATCTGGCTTGTTTCAGGTGAAGATACTTCGCCATTTGTATCTATTCTCTCTATTTTGTTGCAGTTATGAATATCTATTTTAAAATGATGGTTTTCATGACTAATTGAATTAGATTGTTCATCCACTTCCAACACAGAATTCTTCTCTTTGCTATCATATACATCCTCCGCTGTGTCACGAGAGAGATCAGAATCACCCTTCTCCAATTTAAAGATAGTGCCAGCTACATCAATATCAACACAAGGAATACTGGCAACATTCTTTATGGCAACCCTGTTGACCTGGGAATCTGTCAATATATCACATTAGCTATGTACAATCAATTTAATTGAGAACCAGCATAAAGATGAATGGAAGCAGAACAAGAAGTCGCGACAGCCATAATAGAATTGATATGCTTATTATAATATAAAAGGGGAAAAAAAGGAAAGAAGTGAGGAACATGAGAGGGACTAAACCAAAGACTAAATGGCAAAGCAAAAACCACATTTTCAACAATAAAGTGTAGGACTCTCAATCTTGCAGTTCATAATCCATAATGCAATTAAGATTTATGCCACTTGATCTTGAATTAGATAGTATCATGAATAATTGGGTATTAGTATTTTAATATCTTTTAAGGAACTTACTAGCCAGTGCTCTAACAGTACTAAGAAATCGATACTTAAAGAAATTATTGGAAATCACACTGGAGATGCATTGGAAATAGTGAAGCGAGCACGTTAATAACATTTTTTCATAAAAACTTTTCACTTATAATTCTCTAACCAGTGCCCTAGATAGTATTTGTCTATACTCTATATTTAATTCTCCTTCATTGCATGATAATAATTATACCTACACATTTATTGAAAAAAAACTTAAGTCCCACATCAACATAAGGAAATCAAAGAGTACATATAAATAAAGGCTGCAATCTAATTGAGTTAGGCTCATATCTCACATTTTAAGATGACTTCAGAGTTAGATTTTGTAAAATTGAGTTAAGTTTGATAACAAGAATGTAAATTCACTGCCCTTCCACAAACTCAACAACCATAGCATGTTCTATACTCGTTATCAAAACGAAACTGCCTAAGCTCAACAATGTCTTGGAACAATTCAACTTGTTTCAATAAATATAGTCAGACATCACGACATTAGAATTTTTAAATTATTGATAAACTCTTATAATCCTCAGAAAAACTATGAGGAAGAATTATCCAGGTTTCAACCATGTCCTTCAGTTCCTTCAATTAAGCATTCCCTATACTTTGAAATCAAGATTACAAATTACCATCTAAAAAGAAGGAGTATACATACATACATATATATATATATATATATATATATAGAGAGAGAGAGAGAGACACACACACACACAATTCCAATTGAAGATCACGTTTGCTTGGAGGAATTGAAATTTTAGGGAGATCGTCTTACCGCAAAAGAGAGAATCGTGGTTTGAGGGGGATTGGTGGCGGAGATCGTCCTCTTCCTTGAAATCGAAGACTTGTAGATCTCTGCGCGGAGACTTGCTCATCGTCCCCAGCAAGGGTTTATGGAGGGAGAGAGCTGAGAGCGCGAAATTGATGCAAGCTGTAATGTGCCACTCTTTCGATTTGGGGGTGCGATGAAGAGTGCCCTAAATAGTGTTGAATTCCACCAATTACAAGATGCCAGCTGTCCCAAATCGGTGGAAGCTTCTTCTATCTTTCTTTAGAGCATGGACTATGGAGGTGGCAGTCTACTCCTTAGTAATAAATAATAAATAATGACTTTTTAAATATGCTAAATTATATTTTTATCTTTTATTTTATTTATTAGATTTTAATTTTTATTTATTAAAATATTTATTTTAGTCTTTTATATTTATATTTAGATTAATTTAATCCTTTTTAAAATAACGATAATTTTAATTTTGTAACTAATTTTTGATTGATTTGATATGTGAAATTTATAACAATAAATTTAATTATATAAAAATTATAAAATTTATTTTATTTTTAAATTCATAAGAGTTAAAACATAATAAAAATTGTGTAAAAAATATGTCTAATAAATAACTAGAAAATAATATAAAATTATAATTTTTAAAATTTTAATTGCCTTTTAGATTTATTTGATGCAATTTTTGTCATATTTATAATTTTTTTTATATTTAGATTTTAGTTGCATTCAACAATTTTCATATACTTAAATTTAATGAAATAAATTTTAAGTCTTTAATCAATCAAAAAATAATCAAAATCATGTCTCAAAATTAAAAATATCATTATTTTAAAATGATCAAATTTAAGAGATAAAATATCATAATAAATATTTTAAAAGATAAACAACTAAATGATGTATCTAAAAAAATGAGATAAAGAACAAAATATATAATTTAGTCTTTAATATATATATATATATAAAAATTATATTATAATTAATAATTTAATAAGTAAACATTTATCATAAAAAATATATTCTAAATTTTGGATAAATAATGATACAAAATTATTAACTATTAAAATAATTATATAAAAAATAAGAGATTATGAAAAAGTCTTTAACAATACTCTAATTAAAAATACTCTCATTGAATAATAAAAGAAATACTCTCATATAACATAATTATTCTAATTTAATATATAAGATAGATTTAAAAAAAAAATGAGAATAATATCATGATTCAAATTTATATATAAAGAGAGAGATAGAGAAGATTGTTTGTAATAATTTTCTTAGAATAATATTTGATTCAATTTAAAAAAATGAAAATGATGTAAAAAAATATATAATTATTAAATAGATAGTTATTAAAAAATACTCCTATAAAAATGAAAATGAAAATAATAGATGAAATAAATATTATTAATTATAAGAGGCTATAAAAAAATATCAAAAAACTTTATTATTAAAAATAAAGTAGTTAAAAATGTTCTTGTTAAAAAAAACGAGACCTACTAATATTATGTTTCAAGATGAGTGTTCTAATTTAATATATAGGTAGATTATAGATTTCAATTTTAATTAAAAATATTGTTTAAAATACTTCTCAAGTTGGTAAATTTATCAATCATTTCCAACTTGTTAATAAGATCCCAAAATCTAGTACCTTGAAATGACATCTACTACTTGAAATCCTTTTGGAAAAATATCTACTACTTGAAGTCCTTTTAAGTATATGAGTTGTAACTACAAGTCTTGTGGGAATATATAATGAGAAAAAGTTATCATTTTTAATCTTTTGCCAATTAATGAGAGGAAATTTTTCCTCTGTTAATTCATATGTGATTTTTTTTTTTTGTAGTGTGAGATAAGTTGCAAACCCTTTTGTAGTTGATTAGACTAATCATCAACAAATCTTCAATGTTATATAAGGAACTTAGGAAAATCTTCACGAGTCATTCATGAAACAAAGAAACAAAAAGTTTTCTTCCTTTGTTGATGGGTTTACCTTTCACAAATCTCATGACGAGAATTTGATGATCATACTTATAATAAAGAACATGATCCATTCCAACTTTAGGGAAAAGAAGTTTTCAATTCAAGTTGATATACAAAATCTCAATCGTTTGTTTAAGCCTTCATCTTCATTAAGTGAAAGGATTTCAATTGAAACTAGCTTCAATCAAATTGCAGCCCTAAATATGTTCCTGGTACTTCTAAATAATGATATACCCTTAATACCTTGTTTCTTCACAGACACCAAATTAATTGAGTTGAAAACATCAATACTCCCTCCTAATGACACTATTTTATTTGTGGGAGCAATGTTGGTCATCTCTTCCCAAAGTTGCTCTCTCTTATTTAATTTATGTCTAACATAAATTAAAATAAATACCCAAAAAATTTATTCTCCAAACCCACCTTCATATGAACCATTTAGTGCAAATAAGTTGCATCCCAGCAAGAAGCATCCCAAAATCACCAAATCTCCCTTGAAAAGACAATAGTGTGACAAAGGAAACATTTAAGAAATCTCACTATTCTAACTATTTTTCTCAGCCATCTCACTACTTAAATAAGTTTCTAATTGGCAAAGTAAGAAAATTTATCGGAAACTCTTTATTTTTTAAAAAATCTATAATACGGGTTACAAAACCTTTAGAGGCTAAAAACTACAATTCTACACTAAAAAAATCATAAATTTAACTTGTAAAGAGACTTTGGGGTATAACCCTTACTATCTCCAGCTTAACCCATATTTAACCTCAATTATATGACTAAATCAAATAACTTGTTCAAATCATCCTATCAATAACCTCTTTGCTTTTTCCACGTTACCCCAATAAAATTTTTAGTGAAGATCAAGATACATTTTGGTAAAGCATACAATACTCCTTTTCTAGTTGCTTCATTTATTTTTAAATAACAAAATACTCTCCAATTGGTGTTTCTTTTTCAAATTTAGATGTTTGTACACTACAATTATAACCTATTTATTTTCCAGTATTCTTTATTTTGTCGTTGCCATTAGGTTGAACATTCCTTCTTTCTTTTTTTTCTTTTTTCTTTTTTGCATGTGACCCTTTCACATAGGTACGTATAGCTTGTATTGAAATCCATCTTTCTTTTTATTCTTTTAAATGTCTTCTTCAGCCATTTATTTCATTTTTTTAATATTGCAACTCCCTCATTAATTTTAGATTTTGGCACCTTTATCAATATCTATTAGGGATCTATACCATTATTTCCTTAGTTGAGACTATCATTTTTTTTATAAAAATAATCTCTTTATTATTCTCTACAACTCTAATGTCGGTCTCATCCTTATTTTTTGTATCACCATATGCATGTTTCCATTTAATTGTTGGTAATGAGACCCATTTCCATGTATTGAATTTCTTGTCTAATTATTTTGTTGCAAATAATTTCATTTTAACTGTTTAGAAGGAATTTATTGTCTAATTATTTTGTTGCAAATAATTTTATTTAACTATTTTTCTAAACACTTTATTGTCTTAAGGATACCAACATCTAAGGTTCTAATGATTATTCTTAATTATCCACCCCATTTACAACATCAAGCTTCAAATTTTATTTTATTTCTTTGCCTTCTTCCAAATCACGCTACACTTGTTTCACTAGTGAAAACTCCAACTAAATATCACATTGATTCACTAAGTGCCTATACCTACTACAATTAAAACATATCTTATGATACTCCTCAAATTTTGAAATAAGGGTTTTGAGAAGATTGATTTAATATAAACTTGAACATATCATACTCTCTCCATCCTAAAGCTATCTTCCATAACATTCTCTAACCCATGAAGAGTATTGTAATCCACTTTGATAGTTTTCTCCAATCCATTCCTAATCACCAAAAGAATATGTTGGGCAAACTTGGAATTAGAATTTAAACAATCACTCTTTTAAACTTAGTCATATATATGTGATTGAAATTATAGTTATCATCTTTGGATGTTCAAATAATTGTCTAATTAACAATATTTAAGAGTCTTTAAAAATTATTTGTTATGTCTATCTTCTCGACACATCTAATATTGAATTAAAGTTATCATTTTCAAAATATATGAACTTCATTTCTCTTAATTAGCATCATAAATTAAATAACCTAAATTTATAGAACTTTATAGTTACATTTTTTTTCCCAATAAACTTGATAATTAAGGATCTTTTCTATTTTTGACAAGCTTATTTAATTACTTCCTTTTAGATGTGGATATTAGAGCATAATAGATTCAACCCCTCATCGTTTAGATGGACTTTTGTTGTTGCTCCCTCCTCCATGAGCTTAGTTTCATCACTGGGCTCTTGCAACGATTCATGTTGTTGTTAGAAAAGGCATTATGAACAATATTTTCCCCATCCTTATATGACACTACAGTTCTTGGGAGTCTAAGAAGAAACGAATCTCTAGTACATTTCTCTCCATTATTAATATGATGTTTGTCTTCCAAGTTTCCCATCATAACTACTTTCTTCCCATCATTCTCCTTCCTCGATCATGAAAGCTTTCAACTTGGTTTCTCGTGATTCCATTAGTGTGATCAGTGTTTTTTTTTTTTTTCCTACTTTTTTGTAATCTTGATTGACGTATCTTTTTCTTCGACACTCAAACCCCAACCAAGAGAAACAAAAACCTTCGCACCATTCATATTTTATGAAATTTGCAATAGAGGCTTAAAGCCTCAAAAAACAATAATGAATTAGAACTAATGCTATTTAATTTAATTATATTGATTCATTTTTATTGTAACAAAAAAATTGATTAATTTTTATATTGCAATCTTTTAAGTATAAAATAACGTGCAAAATACTTAAATTCCCATTACTTGTAAACTTACCTTAGCGAGTTATTTTTATACCACATATTTCATGGTTTTTTCCTCAAAACTATGGCCCAAAGACTTTGCACGAGTACAATTTGCATTTAGGTGCATTGTTGACAAACATATTAAATCTAGCCACAAGCCCAACATCACAAATAGGCTTCAATTTCCACCACAAACCCAAAAGGTTACAAGTCACGAAAACCACATGCAGGGTGCAAATTAATAAGAAAACCAAGGAGGCCGATTCCCATATAAATGGTAATGAAAAAACACAAAACAATGCACTTGAAGCTATCCACGAACGACATAGCTAGTCCACACATTCAGCAAAATCAAAACAATAAAAACATAAAGTAAAGGATAAACTATATTATACCGAACATCTCAATATATAGCATAGACACTTCATTAACTCTTTCTTCTTAATTATATTGTATTATATATCCGTCTATCATTTTTATATGGAGGCACAGTTTTGTAATGAGGGAAGGCATCGAATGGGGGAAGAATATGGGAGCCGTTGATGATGATTTTTGAATTTTGATATAGAGGTGGGTCTGCACATGCACGTGGAATGATGGTTCAGTGATGTTGCAGTGTGAAGGATCGATGCATGCTGAAGCTCGTATAGCGGTGGGTGTCAAACAAACCATGCATGGTTCAGAATCAGAATGCCTCAGTTCTCGTATGGTAACGTGATATATTCTCGGTTGAGAAAAGTGAGAAAAATAAGTTAAAGATAAGATAATTAAAAAATATATAAGTGAAAAATAATTTTTATTTTATAAATTAATTTTAAGCTAAAAATCTATTTTGTTCCTTTATAATAATTGTTTGTTTTAATTTTTTAGTCTTATTTTTATTTTTGGTCTCAAATTGGTCTTTAATAAATTAATTAGTTGCAATGTCGGACTTCTGTCCAAATTATTTAGACAGAGTTAACTGTTGGCCACGTGGAAGCTACGTAGATGCCACGTGGATGTCAAATTTTGTCATGCATCTGGAACCAAAATGGCCCGTTCCGATTGTACTCATGGTGTGTAAATTTTGCATCTAGAACGACCCGTTCTAGATGCATTATTTAACACCAACGCATGCAGAAGAACGGACTGTTCTGAAACCAGAACGGGCCGTTCTGGCTTCCAAAACGGGTCGTTCTGGATTCAGAACGGGTCGTTCGAGAATGCCAACCAACATAGAGCACTAGTGGTTCAAAAATCGAAAGCAAACCATTTACACATACACTATTTTTTTTATCTAAAAAATAATATATTTTTTTAAAAAAATAATTATATTCTAATATATATATATATATATATATATATTTAAATTATCGTATGTATAAAATATAAATTTCGAGGAGTTATTTATTTATCTGATATTTGTCAAAACTTTTTTACTTTCTATTTATTATTTATGTTGTTAAAAAAATTAAAATTGTAAAAATTTATATCACATATTAAAAACATCTTTATATGATAAATAAATTAAACTTAATTTTTATAAGATTTAACATATTTATTTATATGTTTTTATTAGTGTTAAATTTTTATTAAGTAGGTTTTTAAATTGTTATGTAACCAAACATTTTTAAAAATGTCTATGACAGATAAATATATAATATTTATAACATGTATTTTTTACAAAAATTAGGTTTAAATCTGTTAAATTATAATATAACATAATTTGACCTAGTTTATTTTTATCTTTAATCATAATTGTAAATATAAAAACTTGTAAAAAATAACTATAATATATTTATACTTTTAAAAATTATATATAAAATTTTTAATATTACAAATATATGAATAAGTATTGTCCTCGCGATATAAAATTTCTGGATATAATCATCAACTGGATGTGTGACATTCTGGAATCAGAACGGGCCGTTCTGAAACTAGAACGACCCGTTCTGATTTCACTCCTAGTGTGTTAATTTTGCATCCGGAACGGCCCGTTCCAGATGCAAAATTAACACACGAAGAGTGAAACCAGAACAGGCCGTTCCGGTTTCAGAACGGGTCGTTCTGCTTCCAGATGCATGACAAAAATTTGACATCCACGTTACATCTACGTAGCTTTCACGTGGCATCCACGTGGTTAACAGTTAACTCCGTCTAAATAATTTTGACAGAAATCCGACATTGTAACCAATTAACTTATTAGGAACCAAATTAAGACAAAAAATAAAAGTAGAACTAAATTGAAACAAACAATTATTATAAAGGAACAAAATAGGTTTTTAGCCTTAATTTTATAAAATTAAATTAAACTTTTAATTTATTTTTTAAGATGAAATCTATTTAGATTTATTTTAAAAAAATCACTCATCTTTTAATACTTACATAAAGTCTTATAATACTAAACGAAAGGAGTATATATATCATGTTTAGAGTTTAGGATTTAGAGTATATCATGTGGTACTAGCTGATTTTTTTTTTTGCAAAAGCGCAACCACCGTGCTCGGCTCAATGAAAGCAACATGCATGCATGAACTTAACTCTCACAACATTAATGTTTGCATAATTCACCACCAACGTCTTCCTTCGCATTGCAACCAACACACCAACCCTTCTTGTAGAGCAAAGCTATATATATATTCCTTCATCATCCCACCATAACGGTAAAACTATGATGGGTTATAAAAGACATTATTTTTATAAAATAATAAGGATATACTAGGATTGGTATTTCACTAACCATTTTTGATAAATAAATTATATATTTATTACCATATCAACTTTACAAAATTAGATGATCTAAATCTCATTGGGTGTTATCTGACTATTTGACATAATAGGATTTAATGTTTTTTCCTTTTTACTGCAGTTTTAGTATTAATTTTTTTTAATTTTTTTAATAATAAAAAGATATAATTGATCTATCAAATATAAAAATCATATAATAGAGATATTTTCTTTATATATTTTATATATTAGTATGGATAACATCACGAACTTATCACCCTTTACATTTTATTCCAATCATCACCGCTAGGCCGAGTGGCCGACTATAGTGGTTCCAAGTCTTTGCCATATCCACTATCACATGGCTTCTCAAACCAGAGGGAGAGGAGTATATATGTTTAGGACGACAAAGTACAAACCCATCATCACAAGAACAAGAAGCACTAAGTTTGGCTAGAAAATATTTTGCAGAAAAAAATCTGACTTCTTTTTAAGTTTTAAGAATCTTTTTAGACCAAATCAGTTACGAATTTAAAATTAAATTTACTGAGTAACAAGTCATCATCATGTTGGAAAGAGATTTTTATCAAATATACTTGGTAAATTCTACAACAAATTATAGTGAATCTTTTATTTGATAAGAAATAATTTCTTTCTATATTTGCTATTTGCTATTGAACAAGAAGAAAGAATCCTAATCCAAACAGCCGCCAAATTTTATTATTCCTACACATTGGAGTTAAAAATATAGTGAGACCACCAAAATAAATTTGACTTCAATTCCCATATGTATACTTCGACAGAGAAACGAAAAACAAATACAAAGATATATATGTTGATGTGAATATAATGCTGGTATTAGTTGAACTAATCGGCAACTTTCTGAATTATACATTTTTTTTTTAATTAGATCACAAAAATAAAAACAAAAAGTTATGAAGTCCTTAATTTCGTAAATTTTTTTGTAACGATGGCCATTTATTTTAGTTTAAAATGAATTTAAATTGTCAGACAATTTGTGATAAATAACTTATAAACTTACCGATCCTCACATTTAAACGACTAGTTAACTCATTCCGCTCTAATTAATTAGGACTAAGAATTAAAGAGAACTGCTATAATATCTATAAAAATTAAAAAAATTTAGTACATCAAATTATATAAACAAATAAATTTAAAAAGTTAAATTTAAAACAACATAAATTATAGATTAAAAATTTGTATAAGATGAATCAATTAAAAAGACTAATTTAAAAAAAAAAATCAAAAGTCAATTTTCATAATAAATTTTTTTTATGTGACACAATTAAAAATTTTAAAACAAAAAATTATAATAACACTATAAAAACATTAAAATAAAAAATAAAAATAATAAATAACACATCTAAAAAACTAATTTATATTATAAATTCAAAAAAATTTAAAACTAAAAAAAAACTAAAACGTATTAACAAAATATTAATATTAAACTATTTAATTATAATAGATGTTACATTAAGATAAAAAATTAAAAATATAAAAATAATATAAAGATATAGAAAATTTTATAAAGATAAATTATTAAAAATACTAAATTAAAATAAAAATAAAAATAAGTAATTACAATAAAAAAAAATAATAATTAGACGACTGTTCCAGTACCCCACAATTATAGTGGATACCGTAGAATTTTCCTTAAACTAATTATTTTTGTACTTTATATTCTTAAAAAATAACTTGCGTTAAAGATAAATAAATGATTTGTAATCTAATTTAAAATTTTCAAAAGTTAGTGATTAATTATAATTTTATATGAAGTCTTGCTATGTTATAATTTTTTTTTAAAAAGAAAAAAACTTAATGATGTATCTAAGCTATATTACATAATCGCATGCAAATATATAATCATTATAAAATTATTAAAATATATTACATTGATTTTTAATCAATAATCACACATTTTACTTTTTAATACATTTCTCCCTTCTACACACATCCAACAAACATATTGGTACAGATTTAAGAAAAACCAATGACGCCCCAAAGAGGCAAGACTCTTGGATCATGTAACATCTTCAGTTAGAGAAGGGTAGCCTGAGAAAACAAAGGACTTATTCAAATTAATGTAATAAGAAAATAGCTAATTATTTTTTGTAGATCAATTTAACAGTAAACATATATAGGGGAAGCCACATGCATGCATGCATGTTTTTTACTTACAGTTGTGACTGTTTGCTTACCCTAACTTAAGAGATGTGTCCGATGAACCATCCTCAAGAGGAGGGTCACTGATGCAACTGCTAATGTTATTTGTAGACTCTAATGAAACTCCTTCTTCCTGCATTCCCATATCTGACTCCACCAGGAAAGGAATTTTTGCTTTACGCAGCATAGCCTCCATCTCAATCTCCACTAGCTAATTAATTAAGATAATATATTAATTACTATTAGTTTTTCAATTATGTTTTTATTCTTGAATATTTTACACAATTATCATAAACGAGCGAGTCATTAATTTCTCACCTTTTTCTTTAAATGCTTGTTCTCTTCTTCCAACAGGATTCCCTTTATAAGAAGAATGCACACAAAAGAAAGCAACAGTTCTCAAAATTATGAAGTGAATATGTAAATATAGAAACGCAGAAATCTTGCCTAAGTCACTTGGATATATTATATATATGCACATTATGATATTCCCAGACTTAAAGCACAAACTTTAATGTTATAATTTATGCATTTCGAGTTATATGCTTACAATTAATATATGCGAACATCCCGATATTCATTAAAGTAAACATTAATTAAAACTCAAAACTCATGCAACATGAATACCTCCCATACATCTTACCATTGTACCATATATAGAAGGTTATCTTTTAGAGGACCAGAGCATTATATTAAATGTGTGTGCCAAATTAGTTAAACATTATCCTATACTAACTTCATTATAAAGCTATATCAAGTACGTTATCAACAAAACCTTTTTCTGAAGTTCAGCAATCTGACTCCTCATCTGATTTCCCTGAAGGTAAGAGTTGAATTGAGTTAGTATAAATCATGCATCACCATGTACCAGAGTTATTAACCAAATGAGTGAACGACCTAATGTATTTGTGATTACCTTAAACTCAACCACACGGTCGAGTCCCATTTCAAGTGTTTTCTCCAGTTGCTGCAACTCATTTAGACCTAGTCCTTCAAGATCGTCGCCCTTCAACCAACTGATCGATCAAAATATAAATACAATGGATCTTATATCTTTTAATTTTCAAGTATTTGAATTCATGTTTTCTCTTTAACAAAATTGATATACCTTAGTTCTTGGTTTCTATCTGCAATTTCCTTACTCAACTTGGCGCTATTGCTAGCCTCCAGCTGAAATGAATTATTACAAATGTCAATTACTTGTCAACAGTTGTTAGTTAATTAACTACAGCCAAAAAGTTAAAACATTACTATTTTTTCCTTCAAATGTACAAATAATAATAGATATAAGTCAAATTGATATGAATTAATTAGAGAAATTGAATTTTATACTTGGTCACCAACAAGTTTAGGCAGTATATCACTACTAGATTTTAATTTTTTAGCAACATTTTCTTGTTTACATTTGTTAAAATGTTACTAAATATTAAATAAATAAGTTATTTTGCAACATTTTTTTAAAAAATGTCATTATAGATAGAGTAACATTTTTATTTTAATATTATTCTTTCTAATTGTTTTCAAAATCAAGGTCCCATATAGAGTAAAAATATTTTACATAAGTTATTTGGCAACATTTTTTTTGAAAAATGTTACTATAATTGTTTCTAAAATCAAAGCCCCACATCAAGTAGAAAAAAATATATTTTTCTTATCTCTAATTATTATCCATAATTAAAGTCTCACATCGAATAGATTAATGACTCATAAAGAGTATATATAACCATATAGTTATACTTAAGATAAATGAAATTTGATATTTTATATATAATTAGTGGTAACTAATTAAGAATGTCTTCTCCTAAAAGGTAACTAAGAATTCCTAAGAGTTTAACAGACATAAAAAATATAATAATTGATAGTAATATATCTAAATTAAATTAATTATTATTTTATAAATTAACAAAATATTAGCAACATCATTAAAATGTTACAAAAATACTACTTTGCTAACATTTAAAAAATGTTACCTAATTATATAAAAATGTTATTAAAAGTCTTTAGCAACATAGACTATATACAACATTTGATAATATGTTGCTAAAACAAATTAGTAACATTTATACATCATTAAGTAACAATTTTCAAATGTTGCTAAAAGCTATTTGTGTTGTAGTGTATATTCTGCACAATCACAACAAATTCTAATAAATAGAGAAAAGCAAAATATAAGAACATGTTTTTTCGTACAACCTGCAACTCTAGTGAAGGCCTGTCCAATTTGGTGATGCCATTGGAGTGCGTATTATACCTTGTGATTATGTCATTCATACTTTACAAGAACAAAACAAGAGACGAAGAAAAAAAAAAGAGTTAGTCGTAAACGTCAAATTAAATTTTTTTTAATAGAAAAAGAAGCATTATCTTGCAAAGATTTTTTTCCAACTCAAACAACATTGCAAGTTAACAATAGCTGTATACTCTGATTTGAAACTTGAAGTTGTTAAATGTTAACTAATCACAAATTTCCTTCAAAGTCAAACTAGAAGTAAGCATATACAAGCCGACAGAAAAGGCTTTATGAAGGGGGAGAAAATTAACATACCGGTGAACATGAACGATTATAGGTAGGCATATATATACAAGTTGGCAATGTAACAAATGGGTGAATTTTGCAATTCCAAAGATATAATTCATACTGGTAATTTTTCTGACTTTAATATAAGCAGGTTGGTTGATTAAACAATATATACACATTATCATTCTTATGCAATCTGGCAGACAGAGAACGTGAACATTCAAATGAAAAATCCCTATTTACCTGTAGAGAGATAATATATATATATATAGAGAGAGAGGGAGGAAGAGAAGGGATCGACTTCCTCTAAGAGTAAGTCTAAATATTTCATATTCTGTATCAAAATTTAACGATCTAATTATTTAATTAAAATATTTTAATCTATAGATTAAGTTTACAAAGTTTTGAAAAATTTAAAAATTATTTGATACCATTTCATTAATTTAAATCGACAAATAATCCTAAAAATATTTTATATATTGATTTGAATTAATGAAAAAAATTATTAAATAATTTTCAAATTTTTTAAATTTTGATTTATACATTAAAAAAATTTAATTTAACGATTTGATCATTAAAATTTAGTGTAAAGTATAAATTATTAAATGGAATAAGTCTAAGTTGACTTACTCTATTCAATAATTTATATTTTACATCAAATTTTAACAATCCAATTATTGAATTTAAAGTTTTTAATATATAGATTAAGTCTATAAAATTTTAAAAATTTTGAAAATTATTTAATATTTTGTTTTAATAATTGAAATTGATGGATAATTATAAAAATATTTTTATATGTAAATTTGAATTAATAAAACAAAATATTAAATAATTTTAAAAATTTTAAAAAAGTTACAAACTTGATCTATATTTTAAAAAATTTAAATTCAACGATTGAATTATTAAAATTTGATGTAGAACATCAGTTATTAAACAAAATAAATTTAGATAAATTTACTCCTGATATATATATCAAATAATTTTCAAATTTTTAAAAAATTTGTAGATTTGATTTATGCATTCAGAACTTTAAATTAAACGGTTGGATTGCTAAAATTTGATGTAAAACATAAATTATTGAACAGAATAAATTTAGGTAGACTTACTCCTGGAGTAAAAAGATCTCACTTTTATATATTTTTATATATATGTGTGAGAGTCTAGGATTGTTGATATAGTTAGGAGCTTGTATAGCTGACTCGTATATATGGTTCCAATTCCAAATCATTACTTACTTGCATCTAACAGTACGGAGTTTATAAATATCATCTCAGTTGTCACCCAGCTATCAAATTTGATGTGTGCCAATCAACTTATTTCTTGATCAGCACGTTCTTATATGCCTCATCATTAATATCAACTTGGAAAACAATCTTATAACACGCAAAGAAAAAAAGGAATTAATGAGTTGGAAAACAATATTCTTATAACACACAAAAAAAAGAAGAGCAAATAATGAGGAAATGAATGATGTTAACATGACTTATGTCTCTACAGAGATGTTAGCAACACTCATATTAATTTAGTGTCTTAAATTATTTAATAAATTTTCTTTTTTAATATCTTCTTTATTATTATAGTTAAATTTTATTAAAAATCATAAATATTATAAGTCTCACATTTCATTTAATAAATTTATCCTAATTTAATTTTAACACTCATCAAATTCTATAACTTTTAATTAATAATAAAAGAGTTATTATTATTAAAAGAATATTAGAATGAGTATCACTAACATTTCACTTGATCTTGTATTAGAATGAGTATCACTAACATTTCTCCTGATTTTGTATATGAACAATTGAATATGTCTTTTTCTTAATCTAAATATATCATTGGATTAAGATTTTTTTTATTTCTTATTTTGATGGACTATATTAATCATGCTAAAAAGTTTTTTTTTTCCTTTTACGCACCATCAATTAGTAGGTATATAGTGTGTCACTTTATTATTTTATTTTATTTTTAGAAAGTTAAGCATATTGTTGGGGATATTTCCCTTGAACCAAACATGAAAATGGCATTTTGTTGAGAAAGCAAGTATTTATTCCTAAAAAATTAAATCATAATAACTAATATACATTTGTCAGCTTCCCATATTATTGCTCATATTTCTACTAAAGATGAGATTTTTGAAGAAATATTTCAAAAATTTAGAGATTTTATTCACGTGAATACATAGTTTCACCCGTGCATGTTCAACATTCTAGCGGATAACAGTGTTAGATAAATAGCTTAATTAAAAACTTATTAAGTTAATATTTATTATTAAACACTTATGTGTATGTTATTTTTATAATTGAAGAAAAAAATAGCTAAAGTATTTTATATAATTTAAGTTTTTTCGTAATTGTTATCCTAAAAAAACTTATGAAATCAACTTAAAACAACTTATGAATTATCATAAATTATTAATTTTTCTAAGAGAGTCACACAAGTACTTATGACACAAAATAAACTCAAATAAGCTATTAAAAAAACCTACTTCCAAACATGACTCAAAAGTCATAATAGAATATCATTTTTTTTCTTCTAAATTAATTCGTGAATCTCAACTTTATTATTCAAGATCGAAGTTGTTCATCCTTAACGAATGCTTTTATGTTATTATTAAGTAGAAAAAAGATTTTTATAAAAAAAAAAAGTTGAAAAAAGTTGTCACATGCAAATTATAAGCATATACAATCTAGTCATTTAGCAGAAGGAACAGTATTCTTACTTCATATTTTTAAAATAAATTTATAATAAGGAGAGAGAGATTTGAATGAAGCGTGAAACAAGAAGAACATAGAATTAAAAAGAGAAAAAAAAATGAATTATGAAAGTGTTAATGTGAAGTAAAAATAACACAACTCTTTACTAAAAAGTTGAGACTGATTTTCTCCATAAACTTACATAGGAGTACGGGTGAAGAGTGAGGATTTAAGTTAGTGCAAATACTATTTATTACTCTTGAAGAATTTGTTTGTTCAAAGCATATTCTTCTGTAATATATCTTTTGTGCTCTGTGTGTGCCTGAAAAATGAACATCCAAATAATAGAGTTTAACAGAAACCATATTAATGATATGAAATTAGCATTCCTTTCACACGAACATTGAGAACTACAATAAAATAGATTTTTAGTAATATTTAATATAATTTTTAGTAGTAATAAAAATTGCTATAAAATCTTTTACTGGCATTTCACACATTAGTCATTATATGCAGTGTCGCTAAAATATTTACCGGCAATTATTCTATATGCTAGTGAAAACCCTCATAATGGTCGGGAAAAGTGTATAACTTTTTGTGTCATTTGTTACTAGCATTTAAAATTGCCGCTAAAAGTTTAAGAAAAGATTTATAATACTCTTTAACTTGTAAGATAAGTACAAATACTCTTTAGTTATCTTATTTCTAATTGATGTGAGACTTAGAAGATGAAGGTTATCTTTTAAGTATATATTCTTTAATTTTTTTAATTATCTTATCTCCTAAATACCAACTTAGAATAATAAGTTATAGGCTTAACTCAACCTTATAAAACATACTTATAAAGTGAGAGTTATCATTTACTTGTATACTCTTTAATTATTTTATTTTTAGTCGATGTGGAACTTAAATTTTTTCTAACAAATAATTATCACTAATAGTAAATTTTGATGTAATGTAAATATATTTTTAGTAACTATTATATAATAATCATTAATATTTTTATTAAATAATAAAATAGAAAACAATTCATTTATTACTATTAAATAATTGTTGATAATAAGAAATTCTGTTGTAGTGAAAATAACATTAACAGTTATAGTAATATGTCTTTGATAGATCTCTAATCATTTATATTTTAACCCTATGGAAAGAGTATCAACATCTATTTGTAGGAGGCTAAGTTCTCGTGATCATAGAAGAATGTGTGTATAGACCAATACACAAGATGCCAAGCGAAATATTATGACAATTTTGAAAATACATGTTGTCTTTTTGGTATCCGTGGAATATTTTATATAAGAATAAATATATAAGATGTTCTTCAAACTCTGCTACACCTTGGGCTTTTGCTGGTTTCTATTTAATAATATTCTTTTCTGTTTATTAAAAAGAAATATAAATAAGATGTTCAAGTTTAAAGTTAAAAAAAAAATTTAGACAAAACCAATATGGAAATCCATAACAAAAATATAAAAGCAAAAAGGCCATTACATAGACATAGTTTCCATTTTAGCTCTTACTATCTTAGCATAATATTTTCGCTAGCTATGTTGGATATATAGTGATAAATTCATGTTTCCCACAAAGGATCGCAAAATAAACACATGCAGGCTTTATGGACGGGTTAAATTAATCTTGGCATTGCCTATTCAAGCAAGTAAGCAACCAAACATTTTTACCTCATAAGTAATAGCAGCTCAACAGAATGAAACCTTCGAAACTCAAGTTTCATTTTAAAATTTAAATAATTTTTATATAGGAAAGTAACTTTAAAGTCTTGATTGTTATTAATATTCAGTAAAATTAATTGCTTGTTTGTTAAACTAATTCCACTCTTTCTCACTACCACTACTAGATTTTAATTTTTTAGCAACATTTTCTTGTTTACATTTGTTAAAATGTTACTAAATATTAAATAAATAGGTTATTTTGCAACACTTTTTTAAAAAATGTCATTATAGATAGAGTAACATTTTTATTTTAATATTATTCTTTCTAATTGTTTTCAAAATCAAGGTCCCATATAGAGTAAAAATATTTTACATAAGTTATTTGGCAACATTTTTTTTGAAAAATGTTACTATAATTGTTTCTAAAATCAAAGCCCCACATCAAGTAGAAAAAAATATATTTTTCTTATCTCTAATTATTATCCATAATTAAAGTCCCACATCGAATAGATTAATGACTCATAAAGAGTATATATAACCATATAGTTATACTTAAGATAAATGAAATTTGATATTTTATATATAATTAGTGGTAACTAATTAAGAATGTCTTCTCCTAAAAGGTAACTAAGAATTCCTAAGAGTTTAACAGACATAAAAAATATAATAATTGATAGTAATATATCTAAATTAAATTAATTATTATTTTATAAATTAACAAAATATTAGCAACATCATTAAAATGTTACAAAAATACTACTTTGCTAACATTTAAAAAATGTTACCTAATTATATAAAAATGTTATTAAAAGTCTTTAGCAACATAGACTATATACAACATTTGATAATATGTTGCTAAAACAAATTAGTAACATTTATACATCATTAAGTAACAATTTTCAAATGTTGCTAAAAGCTATTTGTGTTGTAGACCTCTAGTCCTAATTTAAACAACAAATTAAAATTTGATTTGGTCTAATTACAAGTAACACTCATTAATTTTTAAAGTTATTTAAGTGTAAATTTTCTTATACTCTTAATTAATTGTTAACTTTTATTTCTTATGCATTCTTTTATAAGTAGCATTAAATATCATAATTTCTTAAAATAAATATATCTTTGAAATAAATTTAGAATTTATGACAGAATTAATTAAAAATAATAATTTAACTATTTTTATTGGTTTTGATGATTTATTATATGTTATTTATGATTAGAATCGAAGGTAATATATAATAATCATATTTTGAAGTAATAAACTTGGTCAATTATTACTCCGTAAGCAAACAAAGAACATAATGAAAAAAGACCTCCATATACTGATCAAGACAAAAAAAAAAACACTCAACATCTTAAACCCTTAATTAACCATAAACTATATGTACGAATCAAGCTTTACTTCATGACTAGTTAATAACCTGAATACTTCATAATCTTTTTCAAGGGGTCAAATTAAATTTCTACACACACGGGCATAATTTCTTTAGGAAAAGTACATTAACTGCACAACAATACATAACATTCAACAGTATATGAACTATTTAGATGCACAGTATATAACATCAATTATTTAATGACCGGTGAATACGATCAATCCTGGCCAACCAGCAGAGTCTCAGAACCATGCAGAAAATAATTAGATGTTAAAACTCGAAAGTGAAGAATGGGCCACAATACATATATGGTTGAAATTACATAACTTCATTCATCAAACTAATCAATACATGGATGAAACTATATCGATCATGCACAGGCATAAAGGGATCGAATGTATATAGAACCAGTATCTACAAAATAAATTCACTATCCATAGTCATCAACTTTGTATATATATGAGAAAGCTAAACTATTCATTAAGAACATAAGATATAGCATATTCTATATTTAGCTAGCTCGCAATTTCATGTTTTGACAGATAGGATTACCGGTTGCCATTGGTCACAAATATCATCTTTGGTTGAGCTAAGAAGGATTCAGTCCGGATTCATTTGAGAAAATGTTATATTTCTATTTTTAATAGCAATTATGAAAATTCGCACCTCTTTTTTTTACTACTTACGTCCAATAAAATTCCATCATAAGCTTAGGAATACTTTTTGTTTTCTCACAACACCCTTTCATAGAAACTCCAATAAACTACTATAATTTTCCATAGAATTGAGAACAAAAGGTGAGTGAATCGAGGTTTTTCTGTTCCTTGCACATCATCATATACATTTACATCTAATCTCCTTAATTCCCCCTCAACACTTACTCTCTCTCTCTCTCTTACACACTCAAACGCCGTACAGAAACTACAGGCACTAGGATAGAAAGGAAAGCAGTACACACAACACATACATTAATCAAAAACAACCTAATATATGAACATTTATATATATATATATACGAATTAATAGTGAGAGAAATTAAAGTGAAGCGTGTGATAATGTTGTACGTACTTGGAGCTGCTAAAATCAAAGAGCTTCCCCGTAGATGAGAAAACAATGAGTCCAACCTCAGCATCGCATAGCACAGAAAGCTCTGCAGCTTTCTTGAACAACCCTCTCCTCCTCTTAGAGAACGTTACTTGCCTCGCCGTTATGTTATCGATCTTCTTTATCTTGATCTTCGCCCTCGTCATTGTAACTATTAATAACTTCTAGCTGCACAAAGCTGAACACCAATAGGAACTATTTTAAACTCTTCCCCATCCATAAATAAATATATATCCCCATACTTTATGACAACACATGACTTATATGTATATATGGGAAAAAAACCCTAATAAAATGCACACATAGTTTCAGATCTGGTCAACAGGAATAACAAAAAGTACCCAAAAGGAAGCTGGTATTATATAACCATGCAAGGATATGATGAGAGGTTAGGATTGGAGGGGTTTGATTTGCTGATTTCACCCTAGTCTAGCTAGCACTATGTGGATCAGTGAAAGGGGGGAAAGGAAAGAAAGGGAGAAAGTTAAAATAAAATGTTGACAGTTAGATGCAAAGCAAGGAAGTGTAGAAGGAGAAGTTTTAGGAGTTAGAGAGACACAGAAGAGAGAGAGTGAGAGAGAGAGAAAGAGATAACCTTGATTGGGAATGGTGGCTTGCAGTCAAGAAAGGAAAGATTGAAAGGGAACCCTTCCCTTAATAGGTAAACACCGGACTCTTTCTATTTTTATTACTTTAATTTTTTAGTTTCTTTTTTAGAATACTTTCTTACCTAAAAATGGTTTTAAATAATAGTTAAAATGACCATGACAAGCGACAATGTTAGATACGGATATATCAATAGTAAGTGGGACAAATGTTAGTAGTTTCTGTTTTAACCAGGTAATTCAGATTTCAATGTTAATGATCATGTTAGAATTTAATATTTATGGTATCTATATTCATAAATTTTTGGCAAAAATTAATCATAATTTTTAATGATAGATATTTTATAGATTAAGAAAATGTTAGATACGGATGTTTCGAAACTATTCGCAACACTTCCAATATTGTATATAACTATTTGTATCAAAGGATTGCGAGCAAAACTCTTTGGTATTGTTAGAACTTGGAAGACTTCAATATTTTTCTTTTGCCAAGTCCTCAAATCGGGACCTAATATATAGGGTAAGGTCTATTTAACTGCATGTTATAAAGAAAGGGGGAAAATTTGTTTTAATTCTTCAAATCATCTGCGTCATTACCTAAAAGAGCAAAGTGTAATAAAAAATGGGTCCGATGTAATGTTTTCGTTAATAATATTTGTGACTAAAATATGTTTTTTTTAATTATAGAGAATAAAAGATACTTTTTAAAAATTTTAGAAAATAAAAAAAAATATCTTAAATTGATTAAACTAAGGGGGGTGTATTGAATTAGGATTTTAAAGGACTTTTTTAGTTAAAAAAAATCTTGCGAATTTTAAAAGACTTTGCAGGATTTTCATGACTTTTAAGATTTTGCAGGATTCTACAAAACTAAAAATCAGGATTTTAATGGATTTTATAAGACTTTTAAATCAAGATTTTAATGGATTCTGTGGGATTTTGTAGAATTTTCGTGGATTTTTGACATATGATAAGATTTTAAATTTTTTTATACATTCAAATTTAAAAAAAGTCGAAGATAAAAATAATAAAAAATAATAAAAATATCTAGATAAATACTAATAATAATAATAATTTTCCACAATATCTTATCTCTTAAATAGCATTCACCCACATATCAATAGTTATACTAGTCCTTTAAGCATTAGTGTTTTATCGCTCTTGTTCCTGGATTTGAATAATAGGCTCAAAAGTATGATCTTCATTAACTGGTAATATTGAAGATGAAGGTTCGCCCACCGCTTCAATTGAAAATTCATCATAACGACATTCTTTATATAAAAAGTTATGTAATGTTGCACATGCTAACACAAGTTCTACTTGTGTCTTAAATAAAAATGGAGGTGCTGATTTAAAAATTGTGAACCTTGATTTAAAAATACCAAATATTCTCTCGATCACATTCCTTAAAGACGCATGACGAAGATTGAACAATTCTTTCTCATTTTCAAGGTCATTACCCTAACCTGTAAAATCTTGTAGATGATATTTTAGTTATATATTATATGATAATTTTTTAACGATATTTATAAATATAAATTATTCTAACAAATATTTTAACGATATTTCCTTTTTAATGGAGGCATAAACCCTAAACTCTAAAAAATTAGATACAGCAATATCTTTTTTTTTCTTTTTCTAAAATATAAAAAAATTCTAATTTCACAATATAAAAAAATAAAAAATTCATAGTAAATAAAATAAAATAATTGTTAAGTCATAAAAGGAGGAGGGATAAGAGTAACAAACTCAAGGGAAGGAGAGAGATCGCAGTTTTTATGTTGAGAGGGTTCTTCTCCCAACTAAGATCCATTTTCATCTCATTCTACTCACAAAAACCCTAACTCAAATTCATCTTATATATTTCCCTTTTATTTACGTGTGTTATAAAAAAATTATCACTTAAAAGTTGAAATTCCAAGCATTTTTTGTGTTATATAAAGGAACAAATTCAACTAAATAGAATAAAATAGAGCAAGTTAATTAAAGATAACAAATAGAAAAATAGAGCAAGTCAATGACACTATCCTTTACATATCGGAGCTTCACAAAATAGGGGAATGGAATGTGAACAATACTACAATATTATATATGATCAATGGATGGTAGTGCAATATTATTAGCAAAGAAAAAATGGAAAAGATAGGAGCATAGAAAAAAAAATGAAAAACTCACTTGAAAATTTTTGGAGCACTTGAAAAGTCATTTCAAACAATCCTTCAAAATCCGATGGGTTTAGATAAAATTGTTTTATGAATTTGGTATTTATAGATAACACTAGAAAGTCCTTCAAAATCCCTCTAACACAACAATCCTTTAAAATCCTTATATTTTTGAATACTAATGAATTGTTTTTAAGTTGTAAAAAGTCTCAAATGAATACCAATGGATTTTAATGGACTCTTTAAAAAATCTTTAAAATCCAGATTAAATACCAGTGGATTATTTTTAAGTGACATAAAATCTTGATTGAATACCAATGGACTTTTTTAGTCAAAAAAATCTTTTAAAATCCTACGAAATCCTAAACCAATATACCCCCTAAAAATACATTTAAATCTTATTATAAATCGCAAAAATCACATGTAAAAGTTATTAAATACATATAATGAGACTCACAAGTTATATAATTTTAATAAATTTTAATTAATAATAGAGTATATTAAAAATAGTGTGTTACTAATACTTTTTAACTGATTAATATGACCATTTAAAATTTCATAAGAATTTGTGATTTAATTATAATTTTTTATAGTTGTACCGTTTATATTTATTCCTCCAGTGCTCTCATTTTTTTTTTCAAGTGGTCATGTATCTGACCATTAAATAATTTTTAATCTAAAACCTTTCATGTATTATTTTTTTATAATCATAATATTTGTACAAAATATATATTTATTAATTTTATCTATTTTTTATTTTCATCTACTAAAAAAAATTTAACTGATCTTATTTAGTAGAATCACATTTTATCATATACCAGACACGAATTATGGACAAGTTTATAGTTTTCATTTTTATTTTTTATTTTTGCTATAATAAAACTTCTCACTCTGATAGCTTATTAGCTAATTTATTTAACAATTTATACGTATTTTTTTTTAAATGAGAGGCAGATTTCTCACACGTTTTCCCTAACTCAATAAAATTTGACAAAAATGAAATTGAGTTTAATTATTTTGTTATTTTTGCCTTTCTTAAAATGGTTTTGCCTTTTGCAAGAATAATGATTGAGCAAAACTTACCTTTGACATGTCACTACAAGAAATTTATCATATAGTGATACACACTCTATAATGACACTATACATGTCACTAAAAATTACTCACACAATAACTGTAATATATGTTAGTATATTATTAAAAAGTATAGGTATAGGCTATAATAATACACAAAATATGTTGTTAAATATTGTTCTTACCGGAAATCTGCTATAGAGCTGGTCCGTCCAGTAAGATCGGTGAGTCTCCTTTGCCCGGTGTATTGGTGCTCCAAGATGGGGGAAGTACCTGCAAAAGAGACTCTGATGCCAAAGTTAGCGTTTGCATGAGTAATAGTCTCATATATATAATGCACGTACCTTGGGGTGATCTAGGTTTGCCTTGGGCTTTTGGGCTTGAGATAAGATATATCATGATATGATATGATATAATTGAAGGGCGGATCTGGTCTGGGACGAGATCCTCGGAATCAGGTATGATTTGCTCAAATACCGGGCTGACGTCGCGCAGCGCGTGCCCGGGGTTGTTTTGTATTGCTAATCCGGGCTCGGAGCCCGGGTGCGAAGTACGGTTAGTACACTAGCCCTCCGAGCTCTGAAGATCGTAGGTCGAGGAGCTGAGACCGGGCTCGCCAGTGGGAAGTAGCTTTCCACGTGCGCCACCTGAGGGTTTGCCATGTGTCGCGACTGTTCATTTCCCGGAAACGTGCAAGTGGCGCGTTAAGGGAAATGACAGTTATGCAATGATGGGTTGCAATTAATGTGTCATCAGGCGTGCCCCTCGGTCAACACGTGGCCTGGCCGTTTTGAACTTTGGGAAGAGGTTTTTTCTTTTTCCCGCGCCTCTTCTCGTTTTCGCTTTACTCTTTCTTCGTCCTTCAGCTTCTTGTGCACGCTTCGTCTTCGTCTGCTCCCTATCTCTGTTTTCTTTGTCTTTCTTGTGTTTCTTTGAGTTTTCTTGATGGCTGGTGGTCATGGCGTTGGTTCTACTGCCCCTGTTAGGGGCAAAGCACGCGGTAAGGCGGTGGTTACCGGAAGGGGCGCCGCTGAGGGAAAGGAGGTGTCTCCGCCCGGGGACTTAGAGTTGGGTGTCCCTGGCTACGAATGGGTAAAACGCGAAATGGCCAAGTTTGCAAGCATTTTTGACTCGAGTTTAGAGGTTGATGCGCTCTGGGAGACGCATAGGATTTGTGACCCCTCTATTTCTCAGATGATCCGATTGGAGCCTTGTTCGGCTAGTGAAGGGGTGTATATGAAGAGGGCCGTTGGTTCCCCCTCCTTTTATATGTATCAGAGTTTTTTCAGGGACTTGAGTGTCTGCCTTCCTTTGACGCAGTTCGAATGTGACTTTTCGAACTACGTTAATGCGGCCCCCAGTCAGTTGCATCCCAACATCAAACCTACTCAAGGAAGGTTCTCAATAATGGACCTCCCAGAGCACCAAAACAAGATTCCCTATATGGAATCTTCAACTTTCAAATAACACCCCCCTTCAATCCTATGCCAATCAACATGCTTTAGTGTCCATAACATTCTCAGCATCAACACCCCCACATACATCATCTATATACATTACCTCAAGTAAATGCATATAGAGATCAAATTACACGAATCATAATTAGCATACCAATGTTATACACCTCATCCAAGACTAGCACACTGATGAATCATAATTTTCATGCATTTTCTTACCTTTATAAGCTCGTATTAAATATTGTTAGTGCCTAATTATTTTCTTGTGCCATATTTTATTGTTTTGAGGTTTATTGGGCTATTAATTCTGAATTTCATTTAATTAGATTTATTAGCCTAATTAATTTCATAAATACTTGTAGAGAATTTGGAAGCACTTAATGGAATGAGAGCACTGCCACGTGGACCTATTTTAGCATATTTTTATTTTTATTTTATTTTATTTTGTAATTCTCGTATTGCTGCTTGTATGAGCCAGTTGGGCCAGTTGGGCCAACCCAATGTTTTGACCCTAGTGCATTCAAAATTCTAGAGGGAGACAAAAGGTGAACTAGGGTTTTTAGGTCAGATGATGGGACCCTAGAGAGAGAGTCGACATCCCTTCTTTTGGGTTCCAGATGAGTTTAAGAAAGACACCATTTTTGTATTTCAGTTCCCTCCTCCTCTTGTGCTGGAGAGATACCATTTTTGTATTGTATTTTGCTTTGCTGTAGCTTTTTATTATTCTTCTTCTTCTTCCTCCATGGAAGGCTAGTTTGTAATACTCTCTGACTCAGTTTAATGCATCATTGAGGTTTATTTATTCAATGTGTTCTTGCATTCTGATCCTTACGAATCTATTATGTTGGTCTTGTTTCCATGCTTAATGGTTTCATTTTCAACTTAACTGGTTTGTTTTGCTTTGCTCATGATTTGCTTAATCCCGTGAATAGAGATGCGTGCTAATGCTTCATTCGTATGTATGTGTTCAATGATGATAATGACACTTAGTGGTTACTCGGATTTGAATAGAGGTTTAGATCAGTAAGATAATATTTTGAACTAATGACATGGTGCTACAACTAAGTTGGAGAGTTACTATTCACGTGTATTAAATCATTGTTTTATTGCTTTACTGTTCATGCATTAAGTTTTATTTCGAATCTGAAACCCCCCCCTTGTGTGTTCATTTGTATCGCGAGAACCTTTGCTTGGCTTGTTGCTCCTTGAGAGAAACGACCTAGGAGTCACTTCCTAGTAGTATAAAAATCATATTTTATTTGATCGGGTACGACACCGATCACACACCAATGCTCAATAACTTATTCAATAAGGACCTCCCAGAGCACCAAAACAAGATTCCCTATATGGAATCTTCAACTTTCAAATAACACCCCCCTTCAATCCTATGCCAATCAACATGCTTTAGTGTCCATAACATTCTCAGCATCAACACCCCCACATACATCATCTATATACATTACCTCAAGTAAATGCATATAGAGATCAAATTACACGAATCATAATTAGCATACCAATGTTATACACCTCAGAGTGCAACCTTTGGTGGAGGAGAACAAGGTTTTGGCCGCCACCCTGTCTGAGGCGAAGATGCAGGGGGCTGAGCTCCAGGCGGTCCGGGGGGATCTCGCCGAGGCCCGGCAATCGCCGGGGGCCGCCTTGGGCACAAATGAGGGGTACGCTAGCCAGGTTCGCTCCTTGGAAGAGGAGGTGACCTTTTTGAAGGGCGAGCTGGTGTCCGTAACCGAGGAGCGTCTCCGCGACGAGGTGGTCCTCAGTAGTAAGGAGGAGGAGGTGGCTGCCTAGCAGGTATGTCTTTCGGCTTTGGAGGTCGAGAATGCGGCGTTGAAGAGGAGGCTTGAGGAAGTTGAACGTTCTGTGGTAATGGAACACAAGAGGGGCTTCCTCAAGGCTGCTCGGCAGGCTAGGCTCCTCGCGCTGGGGTGCGACTTTTCCGGCATGCATTTGGAAAAGGTTGTTCGCTTCGGGCGGTTAGTCCGGGAGGACGATGTCGAGGAGAGTTCTAGCGACAACGTCTTTGTATAGGACAGTTTTGTTGTGTATACATTTTTGTATCCGTGTTTATGTATGGATCATGACCTTTGCATACAAGTTTTGTTCTGCACCAGTGTTTGGTTTTGGTTTTTTCTCAAGGTTTGGGGCGCGCGTTCGGTGCCCGTTGCGTAGGTGGTTTTATTTTGAATTTATTGTATCGAGACTCAGAGTCGGCTTTGGCTTTTTGTTTAATGGCATGTTGCGAGGGTTCGAGCTTATCTTTTGCAATGCCGGGGTTCGAATTCGACCTCTAATAAGCGTGACGAGGTTCGTTTTCGACCTCTAATGAACGTAAAGAGGTTCGTTCACGACCTCTAATAATCGTGGCGAGGTTCGTACTCGACCTCTAGTACTCACGGCGAGGTTCGTTCTCGACCTCTAAAAGTCACGACAAGGTTCGTTCTCGACCTCTAGTAATCGTGGCGAGGTTCGTACTCGACCTCTAGTACTTACGGCGAGGTTCGTTCTCAACCTCTAATAGTCACGACAAGGTTCGTTCTTGACCTCTAATAATCGTGGCGAGGTTCGTACTCGACCTCTAGTACTCACGGCGAGGTTCGTTCTCGACCTCTAATAGTCACGACAAGGTTCGTTCTCGACCTCTAATAATCGTGGCGAGGTTCGTACTCGACCTCTAGTACTCACGGCAAGGTTCGTTCTCGACCTCTAATAGTCACGACAAGGTTCGTTCTCGACCTCTAATAATCGTGGCGAGGTTCGTACTCGACCTCTAGTACTCACGGCAAGGTTCGTTCTCGACCTCTAATAGTCACGACAAGGTTCGTTCTCGACCTCTAATAATCGTGGCGAGGTTCGTACTCGACCTCTAGTACTCACGGCAAGGTTCGTTCTCGACCTCTAATAGTCACGACAAGGTTCGTTCTCGACCTCTAATAATCGTGGCGAGGTTCGTACTCGACCTCTAGTACTCACGGCAAGGTTCGTTCTCGACCTCTAATAGTCACGACAAGGTTCGTTCTCGACCTCTAATAATCGTGGCGAGGTTCGTACTCGACCTCTAGTAATTATGGACAAAATGGTGAAAGTAAGAGTGTGAATAAAAGGGGACGAGTCATTTTATTGATGAAAATGTGTGCCTCGTTAAAAACCCTCTCAGCCAAAGACTGAGGCGGGAAAATAGTGCACGACTTATTGGTACAAAGTTCAACTGAAATAGAACTTGAGATGCGTAGCATTCCAAGTTCGCGGTATGGGTTTTCCGCTGAGTTCTTCCAATCTATATGCTCCATTTTCCAAGTCTTCTGTGACTCGAAAAGGGCCGCCCCAAGTAGGTGCGAGTTTTCCATCTGACATGTCTTTCCGTGCTTCTCCTAATAGTCGCCATACCAGGTCACCTGCTCGGAAGGAGCAGGGTTTCACCCGGGAATTATATCGCTGGGAAGCTTGGAGCTTGCAGGCCTCTTCATGGATTTGGGCTTCGTCTCTAACTTCGTCCACCAAGTCGAGATCGGCTGCCAGCTCTTGGGCGTTCTGTTCGCTATTGAAGACCTAGCGTCGGTGGGACGCTTCTCCGACTTCAACTGGGATCATTGCGTCGGCTCCCTCAGTTAGCCTGTAGGGGGTTTCTTGCGTGGTCGACTGGGGGGTGCAGTGATATGCCCAGAGGATGCTGGGGAGCATGTCGGGCCACTGCCCTTTTGCGTTCCCGAACCGTTTTTTAAGCTCTCGGAGGATGACCTTGTTGGATGCTTCGGTCTGGCCGTTGGTTTGGGGGTGCTCCACTGAGGTTGGGAGATGCTTGATTCCGAGTTCTTAGAGGAAGTTCTCGAATTCTTCTGCGATGAACTGTCGTCCATTGTCGGTAATGATGGTGTGGGGGATCCCGAACCTGCAGACTATGTTTTTCCAGGTGAATTTCCGCACGTTCTCGGTGGTGATTTTGGCGAGTGGGCACGCCTCAATCCACTTGGTGAAATAGTCGATTGCCACTAGGAGGAATTTTAGCTGACCCTTCGCGGGGGGGAATGGCCCGAGGATGTCCATTCCCCACTGGGAGAAAGGCCACGCTGACATCATGTGGTGAAGGGCTTCGGGGGGTTGTCGGTGTGCGTTGCCAAATTGCTGGCACTCTTTGCATTTTTGGATGTAGTTTTGGCAGTCCGACTTCAGAGTGGGCCAGTAGTACCCAGCTCGGAGTACCCTGGCTGCCATTGAGCGCGCTCCGGAGTGCATTCCGCATATCCCCTGATGGATTTCCTTGATGACGTAGGTTGCTTGAGATGTGGTCAGGCATTTGAGCAGTGGAGTGGAAATCCCACGTTTGAATAATTCATCATCGATGATGATGAATTTGGCTGATCTCATTCTCACCTTTCGTGCTTCGTCTTTGTCTTTGGGCAGGGTCCCCTCTTTCAGGTGGTTCCAGATGTCCGCCATCCATCCCCGTTCTTCATTGTCGTTGACATTGACGATTTTGTCGTCTAGGCTAGGTGAGTGCAGGGTTTCCTGGATGATGGTTCGGTGTTGACCTGGCCGTTTAGTACTGGCGAGTTTTGATAGGAGGTCTGCTCTGGCGTTTTGCTCTCGTGGTACATGTTTTATGGAGAATTCGTCGAAAGATGAGATCTGGCGGGATGCAATGTGGAAGTACTGCTGTAGGAGGGTGTCTTTTGCCTGGTATGTCCCACTGAGCTGTTCTACCATGAGCTTCGAGTTGCTGTTGCAGTTCACTCTTCGAGCTCCGAGATCGTGGGCTAGCCTCAGACCGGCAAGGAGCGCCTCGTACTTTGCCTGGTTATTGGTTACTTTGAAGTCGAACTTGAGGGATTGCTCCAGGGTGACTTGGTTCGGCCCTTCTAGAATGATGCCTGCACCCCCACCTTTGGAGTTGGAGGACCCGTCAACATGTAGGGTCCATGCCTGGGATTCCTCAGTAGTAGCTGGCGTGAGCTCGGCTACGAAATCGGCTAAGCACTGGGCTTTCAGGGGTCCACGGTTTTCGTACTGGATGCCGAACTCGGACAGTTCTATCGACCAGGCAATCATACGTCCGGCGAGCTCAGGTTTTCGTAGAATTTGTTTGATGGGGTAGTTAGTTTTGACTACCACCTGGTGGCTCTGGAAGTAGGGTCGGAGTCGCCGGGCTGCGGTGACCAGTGCCAACGCCAGCTTCTCGATCATCTGGTATCTTCTTTCCGCGTCTTGGAGGACTCGGCTGATGAAGTAGATAGGCGTCTGTGTCTTTTGGTGTTCTTGTACGATGACAGCTCCGATGGCGTTTTCTGCCACCGCTAGGTAGAGAAGGAGGTCGGTATTGTGATCCGGCCTCTGTAAGACTGGCGGAGTTGTGAGGAAGTTTTTGAAGCTTTAAAAAGCTTCTTCGCATTGATCTGTCCAAAGGAAGTTTTTTGGCTTCTTTAGCAGGGTAAAGATTGGCCCTGCTTTCTCCGCAAGTTTGGGGATGAAGCGGGATAGCGAGACTAGCCGTCCGGACAGGCGTTGAACCTCTTTTACCGTTTGTGGGCTTTGCATTTGCATGATGGCTTCGCACTTCTCGGGGTTGGCCTCGATTCCTCTGCTGGTGATCATGAAGCCGAGGAACTTACCCCCCTGGACGCCGAAGACACACTTCTCCGGGTTGAGGCGCATGGTGTGCTTCCTGATCTGGGCGAACACCTCAGCGAGGTCGGAGGCGTGGTCCGTTGCTGAGATGGTTTTAACCACCATGTCGTCCACATAAGCTTCCAAGTTTCACCCAATTTGGTGGTGGAATACTTTGTCCATCAGCCGCTGGTATGTTGCTCCCGCATTTTTGAGGACGAAGGGCATCACCCGGTAACAGTAGTTGGCGCGGTCAGTGATGAAGGATGTGTGCTCTTCATCAGGCGGGTACATCATTATCTGGTTGTACCCGGAGTAAGCGTCAAGGAAGCTGAGGAGGGCATGTCCGGAGGCTCCGTCGACTAACCTGTCAATGCTCGGCAAGGGGTATGAGTCCTTGGGGCATGCTTTGTTGAGGTCGGTATAGTCGACGCACATACGCCACTTTCCTGAGTGCTTCTTTACTAGGACCATGTTTGCCAGCCATGTGGTGTACCTGACTTCACGGATGAAGCCAGCGTTGAGCAACTTCTGCGTTTTTACCATGACGGCTTCCCGTCTTTCGCCGCCGACCTTCCTCTTTCTCTGGGCAACTGGTTTTGCTTCCTTATGTATTGCTAATCTGTGGCAGATGAAGTCTACGTCTATACCGGGCATGTCAGCGCTAGACCAGGCGAAGAGGTCAGCGTTCTTGAGGATCTCCGCTTGGAGTTGCTGTCGTAGTTCGGGGGTTAATTGCCGGCTGATCTTTGTGGTTTGTCTGGGGAGTTTGCCGATTTGAAGGTCGTCAAGCTCATCAACGGGGCTAGGTCGTTCGTCATGAGTGTCGGATCTCGGGTCGAGATCGGTGATTTCTTCGTGGTCGGTGTGAGCCAGAGCGGTAAGGTCGTTCTTGCGCTGTTCGCTCGGTGAGACGGTTTCTAGGCTTTCTACGTAGCATTGTCGCGCTACATGTTGATTTGCTCTGATGGAGATGATCTTCCCATCGTGCCCTGGAAATTTCATGGTGAGGTGCGGGGTGGACACCACCGCCCCGAGCTGATTTAGGGTTGGTCTGCCAATGATGACGTTATAGGAGGTGTCGGCTTCCACGAGTAGGTATCGTACCAGGACCTGTCTAGAAACCGGGGGTGCTCCGAAAGTTGTCAGTAGGTCTACATATCCCCGAGTGTGAATGCTTTTCCCTGCAAAACCGACTAGAGGTTCGGTATGAGGTTGTATGAGAGAGTGGGGGATGTCTAACCTGAGGAATGTTGGCCAGTATAGGATGTCGGCCGAGCTTCCTTGGTCGACCAAGGTCTTGCGAACTTCCCAATTGGCCAATGCCACAGCTATGACCATGGGATCGTCTTGATTTCGGCTGACCCCGGCATAGTCGTCGTCGGTGAAAGTTATCACTGGCGAGTTCCGGCGTAAAGCGCAGGTGGCGGAGTGTACGCGATTAACCTTGCGCAGGTGTTTCTTGCGGGCCGAGCTGCTGGCTCCCCCTCCTGCGAAGCCTCCTGCGATCGCACCGATTACCTCCCGTGAGAGGGTTGATCCGGGTTCCCGATTTGCCCCACTCCGCGCTGCTCCGCTGAGGTTGAGCTGAGAGTCGGAGGCGTTACCAAGGTGTCGAGGGAGCTGGGCGCGGATGTACTCATTCTCGGCTCGTAATGCTGCGAGGTCTGCTTCATTGGCGGTCCGTATCGCCGCTATGTCACTTTCGTGCTGGGCACGCGTGTTGTGCAGGTCAGCGTCATGCTGCTGGCGCATCTGTTCGACTTGGTCGATTAGCCTTCTCAAGGTCGCAGCGTCGCTGTCCATGGTGACTGAGTGTGCAGCGTCTTCTGTTGCTCGTCTAATGTGGCTTCTAGTAGAAACCATACAGGTGGCCGATGAGGGCTGTCTCGATCGGCCCCACGGTGGGCGCCAAATGTTCTTACCGGAATTTGGTCGTAGAGGTGATCCGTCCAGTAAGATCGGTGAGCCTCCTTTGCTTGATGTATTGGTGCTCCAAGATGGGGGAGGTACCTGCAAAAGAGACTCCGATGCCAAAGTTAGCGTTTGCATGAGTAATAGTCTCATATATATAATGCACGTACCTTGGGGTGATCTAGGTTTGCCTTGGGCTTTTGGGCTTGAGATAACATATATCATGATATGATATGATATAATTGAAGGGCGGATCTGGTCTGGGACGAGATCATCGGAATCATGTATGATTTGCTCAAATACCGGGCTGACGTCGCGCAGCGCGTGCCCGAGGTTGTTTTGTATTGCTAATCCGGGCTCGGAGCCCAGGTGCGAAGTACGGTTAGTATAAATATCATTCAAAATCAACATTAAAATTGTGTGTAACTATATGTCAAATAGACATATACTTATATATATTGTACTTATAGTGACACTTTTTGTATGTTACTATATGTAATATTTCTTGTAGTGTGTGTCATTGTCATCAATTCCTTTAATTACCCTATGTTCTACGGTTAATTTTTACAAGTCTAAGTTTAAAAAATTATATTGGATGTATTTTTTAGAATAAATTAAGGACATAATTTAAATTATCTCATTTTAGTTTATTGTTCTATGTTCTTTTAAGATTCCAATTCTTTAAATTATTATGTATTCATAATAAAATTATTTAATTTAATATATAATTATATTTATACTGATATTATTTATCTAAATACTATAAAGTATATCTAATTATAGTATTGTATTTTTAATTCTATAATTTAATTATACATAATATTAAAAATAATATATTAAGCTAGCAAATTTAATAAACTCGATCTGGTTTTGTATATAATTAAATTTTAATCAAAATAAATTTAATTTGAAATGGATGACGACCTTGTTGAAATTTCAAATAGAATATAAATAAAAACAGACATATATAGTGTAGCATGGGAAAGCTAATATGTTTCCATTATGGAAAATATTTTTATGTTAGATATGTTGGTATATTATTAGATCAATGGCTAAGAATTAATTTTATTTTTCTTTTCTCCTTTTTCTCAATCTTTTATGATTTGTCCTTAATTGTTCCTTTCTTTTTTACCGCCAAATACTTTCATCGCCATTGTGGCACTGGCAACACTAACAACAAATAAAGCAAAACCTCACATTCACACTCCTTTAAACAAAGCATTAATTCGCTACCAACAATATTGGAAACATGAATTTGAGGAATGAAACTTCAATTGATTCCAAGAGAAATAATGGATTCAAAATGTGAAACGAAAACAAGATTGAGGCGTTAGAATATTTGGACTATAATTCCTCTTTCTATATATCTAGATTATAAAAGTTATCATCATTCACATCGAACCATTGCTCCTCAACTTCTCCCTGCACAACCCAATATTGCAACAACAAAAGAAACCAAGTCATCGATGCACACATGCAAGAAGAGAGGAGAATACAAAATAGTTTGAATAATTTGTAATTTTGTTCCTCTATTTTTATCCCTTTAATTTATAAAATATGAAATTTTGATTTTTCAGTCAAAATAATATATATTAATTATTAAATTTTAACTTTTATTTATACTTAAGTGATATAACATTTGAAGACACAAAAAATAATATAAATACAAATAAAAATCTTTTGTATGTTATTTTTAAATTTTTATCTCTATATGTCAAATTATTAAATATCATGTCACTTAAATAATAATATATTATTGGTCAATGTCAAAATTTAACAATCAATGAACATCAAATTAATAACAAGACCAAAATTTCATATGTTGAAAAATAGTGAAACTAAATATTTCTATTTTAAAATAAAAAAATTGAAGTTACAAATTGATAAATTTAGAGGGACCAAATATGTAATTTAGTCAAATAATTTTAATACAAAAAGGGAAGAGACAACACAAAATATTTGACATACTTCCTCATTTCCTCTCTATTATTAGATAAAAATCACGAGTTTTGATAAATCTTATTATTAAATCAATAGAACAATTCATTAAATGATATACAAAATTTATAAAAGCATTATTTTTAATAAATTTCAATTAATATTAAAAAATACTATTTTTAATCTTAATTATAAGTAAAAAATTAAATTTTTCTAAGTAACAATCATTAATTTTTAAAAATTTTAAAAAATATTTTTTTATATATTTTAATTAATTATTAACTTTATTCTTACACGTATAATTAGTATTAAATATAACAATCATTAAAAATAAAAGATGTCTTTAGAATTAATTAAAATAATTAATTTAATTACTTTTTTAATCTTGATAATTGGTCTTATATTATTTATAATCAGTAAAAAAATAGTATTAAAAATATATTAGCAAAAAATATATCGCATACATTTTCTGAAAATAATGTACATATTCAACATTTAAAACATAGCACTTCTTATTGAGAGCACTCTGAAGACGCATGGTCTCGTCATAGCCTTTGTTATAAAAATGAACCAAACCTATCTAACTATTTATTTCTATTTATTATTTTTCGATGATTATATATTTATGTGGACCATTGCTTTTCGTACATCATAGCCATACTGCCGGTCAGACGTCCTATTAGGCTATTACCCATCATAGCCATAATATTTCATATACTACCCTATATATAATTATATATACCTAGCTTTACCCTTTTTCCTACTTTTATATTAATACTCAATAACCAACATGCAAATAATTAATAGTGTGTATCATAGTTGTAAAAACAAGATCGAATCGGCCGGTCGGACTGGTTGTACTCAAAATTTGTGATTTAGCTGATTCAAACCTTAAGTTGAATCAGTTATACATTTGACTCGTTTTAAATTGGATTGAATCAGTCAATTTTTCGGTCTGACTAGTAAATCGATAGGTCAAACTAGTTCAACTACAATTTTTATTTTTATTTTTTTTAAGAGACCACAAACCACAAAAATAACAATGAGAATTGAATCTTTTAATGGTAGAACAAAAAGTCTTATTAAACATAACAATGACTACTTGTTCTAATGTATTTATTTGTAATATATGCAATTGAAATAAATTTTATAGCATATTATTAATTTTAAATTATATATTTAATAATATAATATCTATGTAGATATTATATATTTTATTTTGTAATATCAATTGCAAGCATATTATATATGTACATATTATTTATATTTTTAAT